CGTTGGTGGTGTCAGCCAGGGGGCATGGAGCTGCCACCCCACAGGATGGGGCACACAGGCTGGAGCAGGTCATTTTTTGCTTCGAGGGATCAATCTTCAAGGCAAGACAAAGTTACGGTGCAGTGCAAACAATAACCCCAAATCTCCCCTGCGCTTGTTGCACATGGAACATCTCCTAAAGGCATTCCCTGGACTATGTCAGGCAGTCAGAGCTAAGTCCCATTTCACAGTGGACCTGCTGCTGTGAAGCCTTTGCTCTCCCACACACTCTGTGAATCTGACTTCCCCGTAGGTAACAAGAAAAAACCCCTCGTCATAAGAAGATTGGAAATCAATGAGATCAAAAGTTCCATTATTATTCCCTATGGATCTCAGAGGGAAGTTTAAATTTGCAGCCTTTCCCTGGTTATGAGAGAGCACTGCCAGATCCTAACTATTCATGGTGAAACGGGGGTAGAGTAGACAGCAAATGAGACATTGAGGAAGACAGAGCTGAGGAAGGAAAGAGAAAAATAAGTCTTGGACTTACCACAATGATCAAGAGAGTCGAGTGGAAGAAGCTGGATAGGGAGCTGTGAAGCCCTCAGCTCTTTTATACATGTCCTGCTCTTCCTGGGCAGTGGCCAGCGTCAGGCACAGATGTCTCAGCTGATGATGAAATGAAGCGGTGAAGCCTCCTGAAGCAAAGTGAATCCATCCTCACCGGCGAGAGTAGCGAGCAAACGTGCCCTGGAGAGCAAACAGGGAATGGGAGGGACAGACCATGACACGCCATGACATGAATGACAAGGCTATGCTTTAACTGACCTCATGGCACCAATAAACCCCGATCGATCCCTGATCCTCCCACTCTGCTCATGCACTGGAGTCTTGCTCACCTTCCACTCCTGGCCACAGCCATCACGCCTGCATTGCCTCTCTTTTACAGGGAGGTAAACAGAGGCATGAGGAGTTTGGCCAAATAGAGAGGCCATTCTACATGCTTGGATTGGGTCCAAAAGGGCCGCCATCTTCCAATGCACTTTTGGGAAAATAGGTCAGGAGCATCCCTTAGCCATCTCCATGACCTTGCTCATCAGGGTGTCATTGACAATCCCGATTGACAGCAAGAGAAAGAGTACTAGCTGTACTTACTGTGTGGGACAAGAATCACATGCTGGGAGATCAGCACTGCCATGTTACGGGAGCAGTGCCATCCGGCAGCAGGATCCTGTGTGAGAGGGTGATGTGCACAAAGTGGCGGGAGGGCAGGAAGGGTGCCAGGATTCCCCCAACTTCCTTGGCCATGCGTCTGTGCGTGTTTTTGTCCTCGATCCCTTTCTGGAGGAGCTCAATTTCTCAGCTGGACATGGAGGGCTGCACAACGAAAGGTTGGTGAGCACCCACAGAGAGCCAGGGTGCACGTGGCCACGCTCTCCGAAGGCAAAGGCACGCTGAGCGGTTCTGGCTCACTCAGCAGTGGGGCTGCTGCTCAGTGTGGCATGACTGGACACAGCAGTCTTCTGCAAGATGCCTGTGACACTTCCCTGCAGACCAAGTGGGGGATTACTGACAGATCCCTGTTTATTGAAGCTGCAATGTCAGCTAAGTCAGAAAGTTGCTTGTCATGGAATGTGGAGTGCATATGCCATCAGCCATATGTACTCCAGGGCACCTTCACATAGAGAATGGCATTTCCCTTCACCAACTTCCCAATACCTCTATTGATCACCTTGTAAAAGAGAGGTAATGACAGGCTTGATGGCTGTGCCCAGGATTGCAAAGCACTTCTGCAAGGTACTCAAGACTCCAACACATGAGCAAAGAGGGAGGATTAGGGACCGATTGGGGTTTATTGGTGCCATGAGGTCAGCTACAGCATCACATCTCCTTTCATGTCATGGGGTGGCATTGTCCCTCACGCTCCCTGTTTTGTCTCCAGGGCCCATTTCCTCGCTACTCTAACCAATGACGATGGATTCACTTTGCTTCAAGAGGCATCACTGCTTGATTTCATCATTAGCTGGGGCTTCTGTTGCTGAGCATTGCCACTGCCCCGGGCACTCTTGGGTATGTATAAAAGCTGAGGGTTTCACAGCTCTCTATCCTGCTTCATTCATTCGACTCTCCTGATCATTGTGGTAAGTCCAAGACTTATGTCCCTCTTTCCTTCTTCAGCTCTATCTTCATCAAGGGCTCTTCCTCTGTCTCCTGTATTCCCATTTCTTCACAAATAGTTACGATCTGATAGCGCTTTCACACAAGCAGGGAAAGGCTAAGGATTTAAACTTCCATCTGAGATCCGTAGGGAATAATAATGCACCTTTAGATCTCATTGATTGGCAACCTTCATTTGTTGAGGGGGCTTTTCTTCTTTCCTATGGGTGGTTCAGGCTGAAGAAATGTGTGGGAGTGCAAGGGCTTTTCAGCATCAAGTCCAGTGGGGAATGGGACTTTGCTTTGACTGCCTGAAATGATCCAGGCAATGTCCTGGAGCAGAGGTTGCAACTGCAGGAGTGAGGAGGGATTTGGGGTTATGCCTTGTACTGCACTGTAACTCTCCCATCTCTTGCAGCTTGACCTCCCAAAGAGAAGAATGGCCTGCTCCAGCCTGTGTGCCCCTTCCTGTGGGGTGGCTGCCCCATGCCCGCTGGCTGACACCACCAACGAGCCCTGCGTGCGTCAGTGCCAGAGCTCCTCGGTGGTGATCCAGCCCCCAGCCACGGTGGTCACCTTCCCCGGACCCATCCTCAGCTCCTTCCCTCAGCACAGCGCTGTGGGCTCAGCGGGAGTCCCTGCCATTGCTGGGGGCTACGGCGGTAGTTATGGAGGCCATGGTGGTTATGGAGGTTATGGTGGCTACGGGGGTTATGGACGCCTTGGTGGCTATGGAGGCTATGGAGGATACGGTAGCTGTGGAGGCTTTGGAGGCTTTGGCGGCTACGGAGGCTTCGGTGGCTGTGGAGGTTATGGCGGCTGGGGCCGAGGCCTCGCGTCCTTTGGCGCAGGCTGCGGGATCTGCTAAGCCCCAACTGAGTCCTTCTACAGATCACAGAGTTCTCCAAGAAAGCCACTTGCACTTCCCAACTGATGATGGCCAAAGAAAAACATCCCTTCAGCATTGCTGGGTTCCAGAGCCTGGGGACACGGTACCTGCTGATGGCCAACTCTAAGTATTTTATGCCCCAATTCAGTATTGTTTGAGGGCATGCTTAGAATGACAATGCAGCCCCATGATGGGTGCCTGCTCCTGCAGCATGCTTAATGCTCTTTGTGACTCTGCCCACTGCCTGGAGACGCAGGCTTCTCTTGGTCAGGGCTCTGCACTTCTCCCAGCTCCTTTCCTCCTCAAACTGCAATAAAAGCTGTGTTGCATCGCATCGTTGTCCCTTGATTTTATATTATGACCTCCACATGCAGTACTCCAGGTATCAGCATGGGTTCTCCTGCGTTTTCAAGGGAGCACCCAGACACTGCCTTCTCAGAGGGACCTTTGGAAGCTGCCTTGCTTCCTCCTGCCTTCCCTCAGGAATCAACAGGTTGCTCAGAGATGGTTACGGTGTGCAGGGTCCTTGCTCATCTCCACTAAGCACAGTTCCTCCCTCTGCCATCTCTCTCATCTCTCAGCATAAGGGTGCTGCTCTCTGCAGCACAAAAAGGCATGATGGGCTTCACACAGATTTTCTTGCCCACTCTGTTCATTTCTCATCAGCTACCTGCAGCCCCTGGACCCCCAGATAGGTATGGCCAGAGACATAGCTCAAGGGCAAAGACCCATTTCAAGGCCTCTTGTAAGTCCACTTGTAAAATGTGAAGAGAGTAAACAGTTCCCAACACCTCCCTAAATGCCTTGTCCCCATCTCCTCCACATTCCTGCATACCTGCACCATTTCCACCTCCAGGTTTTCCTCTGTCTCCCAGTGCTCCTTGGAGAACATTTCCTTTTCTCCCCCAACGGCTGGAGGTGAAGATCTTGCCAGCCAGGTCTGTGTCACCCACCTTCAGCTTGCAGACATGGCTACGGCAAGGAATGACAGGAGAGTTTCTTAAACATATGCCCTGCAACCGCCTTTGAGGACTTTTCTGCCCCTTCTTCACATAGGAGACCATAATGTAGACTATGCTGCCACACAGCTCCCAAAGCATCCAACCACAGCAGTCATGCCAGGATCAAACAAACCCCAGTACAGTGTCCTCAAGAGAGACACACATGCCACCATGTGAGCCAGCACATAACACATGCCTGAGAAACAGTTCACAGTAACGTGAATATATATTTTCCTGAGGTCCCCAGAAATGACCAGCCTGCTGCCACATTGCACTTCCTGATGGCCTTGGCAGGAACTGCCTCTGCGTAAGACCAATGAGCAGTGCTAGGGTCATAATGAGAAGTTACGTGGTGACCGGAGGGACTTCATAAGCCTCGATATTGCAACCTCTTGCTCAAAGAGCTTTGCAGTTTTTACGACTTGGCAGCACAGGGGAAATCATGGCTTGGAGGGACACTTGGGAAGAATTGGCTGTGTCTATCACTTCCCTTCCTACTTGTCCCCACCCTTATCAGGGCATGGGGACTTGTTCAGCATGTGGCAGGAGAACTGTACATGCAGTTGTTTTCTCTCCGTTTTCTTGCACCTCTAAATTTGACCAACACCAAGCCAACGAAAGGAGGCAATGGCAGGATGTGGGTTCTACAGAGGATTAGGAACAACTGCTGCTGGACCCATGATGTTTCCTTTACATATTCCAAGAGGGCGTTGAGATTGTTGTGTTTATTGATGGAGAGAGACGGGAGAGAGCACACTGGGGAATGCTCTACAAGACCCGTCTTGTCACGGTCTAATCAGTCAGAACACACTGAGCAAACTCATCCCAAATTCTCCAAAGGCACAACATGGGAGATTCAGAGGAGGACAACATGTCTAGAGGTTTAGGACATGTAGAAAGGAGAAAATATCAGGAAAAAAAAAAGAGGTTAACATTGCGATGCAGCACAGCTTTTATTGCAGTTTAAGGGGGATAAGGAGCTGGGACAAGTGCAGGGCCCCAACCAATGGCAGCCCATGTCTTCAGGCCGTGAACAGACCTACACTGAGCATAAATCATACTGCATGGGCAGGGGCTCAGTGCAGGTCTCTGTCATCAGGGGGCAATGAGCCTTGAAGGGATACTCAAGGAGGGCAGGAGGACAGAAGAGGTGGGGAAAAAACAGGCATGAGGCATCCAAGCTCTGGATCCCAGTAGTACTGAAGGGATGTTCTTCCAATGGGTATCATCATGCTGGGTTGTTCCAGGGGCTTTCCTGGAGCTCTCTGTCATCTGAGGCAAGCATCAGCTGGAGCTTAGCAGCTCCCACAGCTGGCACCAAAAGACATGAGGCCTCGGCCCCAGCCGCCATATCCTCCACAGCCACCGAAGCCTCCATAGCCACCAAAGCCCCCATAGCCTCCACAGCTACCATAGCCTCCATAGCCACCATAGCCACCAAGGCCTCCATAGCCACCATAACCTCCATAACCACCACGGCCTCCATAACTGCCACCATAGCCCCCAGCAATGGCAGGGACTCCCGCTGAGCCCACAGCGCTGTGCTGAGGGAAGGAGCTGAGGATGGGTCCGGGGAAGGTGACCACCGTGGCTGGGGGCTGGATCACCACTGAGGAGCTCTGGCACTGACGCACGCAGGGCTCGTTGGTGGTGTCAGCCAGCGGGCATGGGGCGGCCACCCCACAGGAAGGGGCACACAGGCTGGAGCAGGACATCTTTCAGGCAGGTACGGAGTCCTGGAAAATGCATCAGGGATTAAGCACAGGTGAGTGCAAGAAACTCTGCCAAGGCAGGCAGGGAGAGATCTGCAAGAGGCTCCCAAGAGCCGCACTTACCCGTTTGATCAGGAGAGTCAAGAGCAGGAATATGGATAGAGGTTGTGAAGTCTTCTGCCCTTTTATACGTTTCCCAGTCCACCTGGGGCATCAGGCATGGGGTGCGGGCAGAATCCACAAGGACTCATGGAAGCCAGTGAATAAACTTCATGACACACGAAATTAGACATGTAACTCTTTGGCCCTCTTTATTTGGGTCAGTGGTATGCTAATGTGCCCCAGAGTGCATATGGGTGATGGGATATGGCATGGCACAGTTCATGATAGACAAGGTGCTGATGAAGCTGAGCTAGCAGCTCCAATAAACACGCATCTGTCATTAACTTCACCCCCCTTTTGCCTACATAGAAGAGTCACAGGCATTTCTCAGAAGATTGCTGTGCCCAGCCATGCTGCCCACAGTAGAAGCCCTACTGCTGAGTGAGCCAGCAGTGCCCTGCTTGTCTGTGCCTGCGGGAAGAGTGGCTACATGCACCCTGGCTCTCTGTGGTTTCTCACCAGCCTCTCCTGTAGCAGTCCTCAATGTCGATGTGAGGAATTGAGTCCCTCCAGAGAGGGCTCGAGGAGGACCATGCTCACAGACACATGGCCAAGGAAGATGTGGGAGTCCTGCTTTCCTTCCTGCCCTCGTAATCCTCCGTGCACGTCTGCCTCTCACACATGACTCTGCTGTCGTACCTCACTGCTCCCCAAACACGTCAGTGTTGAGCTCCCATCATGCGGGTCTTGCCCCAGACAGCAAATGCAGCTCTTACTGTTAGTTTGTCTGTCAATCAGCAAGCCTCAATCACTCCCTGATAAGCAAGGTCACAGAGATGTCTAAGATATATTCCTGACCTACTTTCCCAAAAGTGCATTGGAAGATGGTGGTCCTTTGGGACTCATTCCAAGCATAAGGAATGGATTCTCTGTTTGCCCAACCTTCCAATGCCTCTATTGATCACCTTGTAAAAGAGAGGTAATGCAGGCGTCATGGCTGTGCCCAGGATTGCAAAGCACTCCTGCAAGGTGCCCAAGGCTCCAGCACATGAGCAAAGTGGGAGGATTAGGGATCGATCATGGTTTATTGGTTTTGTGAGGTTAGCTATAGCATCGCCTTGTCTTTCAAGTCATGGCGACCCATGATTTGCCCCTCCCATTCCTGGTTTGCTCTCCAGGGCATGTTTGTTTGCTGCTCTCCCCAATAAGGATGGATTCACGTTGTTTCATGGGGCTTCACCACTTGATTTCATCATTAGCTGGGGCTTCTGTGAATGATGCTTGCCACTGCCCCAGGCAGTATAGGACAAGTATAAAAGAGCTGAGAGCTTCACAGATCCCTATCCAGCTTCTTCCACTCGACTCTCCCGATCACTATGGTAAGTCCAAGACTTATGTTCCTTTTTCTTTTCTCAGCTGTCTTCTTCGATGTCTCTTTTGCTGTCTTTTTTGCTCCCCTTACATCGTGAATATTTAGGATGTGGTGGTGCTCTCTCTTAACGAGGGAAATACTGGGAACTTAAACGTGCATTAAGATCTTGCTGTAAGGTTACGGAACACTGATGCACTGTCGTCCCTTTGGTTCTCATTGACGTCCCATCATCTGCTTTTGATCTCGTCTATTTCCCATATTCATTTGATGAGGGGGCTTTTCTTCTTACCTATGAGGCCATCAGTCTCAGGGAGCATGTGGGAGAGCAAAAGGTTTACAGCAGCAGGTCAACTGTGGAATGGGACTTAGTTCTGCCTGCCTGTGATAATACAGGCAATGTTCTGGAGAAGAGGTTCCAAATGCAAGAGGGTTATAAGGGATTTGGAATAACGCCTTTGACTGTACTGTAACTCTGCCTGTCCTCCAGCTTGACCTCCTGAAGAGAAGAATGTTCTGCTAAGGCCTGTGCGTCCCTTCCTGTGGGGTGGCCGCCCCGTGCCCGCTGGCTGACACCACCAATGAGCCCTGCGTGCGTCAGTGCCAGAGCTCCTCGGTGGTGATCCAGCCCCCGGCCTCAGTGGTCACCTTCCCCGGACCCATCCTCAGCTCCTTCCCTCAGCACAGTGCTGTGGGCTCAGCAAGAGTCCCTGTCATTGCTGGGGGCTATGGTGGCAGTTATGGAGGCTATGGTGGATTTGGCGGCTATGGTGGCTACAGTGGCTATGGAGGCCTTGGTGGCTATGGGGCTATGGAAACTCTGGTAGCAGTGGAGGCTATAGAGGCTTTGGCAGCTACAGAGGCCTTGGTGGCTATGGGGGCTGCAGATATGGCAGATGGGGCCAAGGCCTCATATCCTTAGGTGCCAGCTGTGGGAGCTGCTAAGCTCCACCTGATGCTCGCCTCAGATGACAGCTCCTGGAAAGGCTCTGGCACATCATAACATGATGAAATCCAAAGGAAGAACAACCCTTCAGCACTGCTGGGGTCCATCGCTTCAATGCCTCAAGCCTGCTGGAGCACAACTCTGCCTTCACTCTGGCCCGTTTGAGCATCCCTTCAAGACTAATTGCCCCTAATGACAGAGACACACACTGGGCGCCTGCTCCTCTGGCACTGCTGATGCTCTTTGTTGCTCTGCCCACTGCCAGTAGACGTGGGCTGATCTTTGCCAGGGCTTTGCTCTTCTCTCAACACCTTCCCTCCTTAAACTGCAATAAACACTGTGTTTCATCACAGTGTTGACACTTGGATTTATTTGATTCTTCCTTCATACACAAAATCCAAAGTTGCAGTAAGGGTTCCCATGAGTGTCCCAGACAGCTCCCATCCACAGCCTTCTCATGGAGACCTTCAGAGGATGCCTGACTTCCTTCTGCTTTCCCTCAGAAATGACATCTTGCTACAGGAGGTTTGCCCAGAGCAGGGACTGTGGTCAGCTGGAGGGACTACATCTAATCCTTCTTTCCCTCCCTTCTCTTTTCAACACCTTTGGCTCTTATATCGTGCAGACCAAGAAGAACTGCTGTGACCAGCAGTGGGTTTGCTGACCTCTCTGGGCATTTTTCATTGGCTGCCTGCAGCCCCAGGCCTCCTGGATTGGCATGCCAATGCAGCCATCTCAACAGCAAAGGCCCACCTCAGATACACTTGGGAGAATAAAGGTCAAATGCAGACAGTGTCACCAATCCCCAGCACCTCCCCATATGCCTTGCCTCCATCACCTCCACATTCCTGCAGCCTTTCACCATATTCACCTCCAGGTTTCTTCTCTCTCCCAAGGATCTTTGAAGCACTTTTGGCCTCGTCTGCTCTCACTGGGGAAGCATAAGCTTTTCTCATCCATTCCCAGTGTCACCCACCTTCAGCCTGCAAACATGGCTCTGCTCAGGAATGACAGCGGAACTTCCCACAGCCCCATGCCCTGGAACAGACTTTGCTGGACCTTTTATTGCCCTTCCTCATATGCAAGCCCACAATGTAACCCACACTGCCACACACCTCCCAAAGCATCCAGCCAATACAGGATCACTGAAGCCCTCTTCTACCATGGTACACTCAGTAGGCACACATGGGACACCATGTGAGCCAGCACAGAGCTGATGACTGAGAGAAAGTTCAGGGAACTGGTTAGATAAGAGGATGGATGACCCCTCTTTTCCTGGGTACCCAGCAGTGACAAACATGCTGCCACATTCACCTTCCTGATGGCTTTGTCCAGAGCAGTGCAAGACCACTGTGCATGACCTAGATGCAACAATAAGAAGACACTTGGAGAAGGAAGGGGCCTTTGGAGGATCAGCAGTGCAACATCTCGCTAAAAGAGCTTTGTGCTTCGTGTGACTTGGTTACCTGGGGACAAATCATAGCTTTGAAAGGTAACTTGGGAGCATGTGGCAGTGTCTATCACACACTTTCTCACTGGGTGTAGGGACATGGATGATACATGCACTTATTGTCTCAACCTTTCCGTGGAGCTCCCAGTGTAACCAATACCAAACCAACAAAAAGAGGTAATGGCAGCATGCTGGTTTGCTGAAGACTTGGAAGAACTTCCAAAGGACCCATAAAGCATTTTCAAATCTTCCAAGTGGCCTTTGAGAATACATTGTGTTTACTGCTGTAGGGACACCTAAGGAAGCTCAGCACGCTGTGCTTCACAAGACTGAGACTGAAGTTGGAAACCACTGACCAACAGTCCTAACAGTAGTGCTACCAGGGGACTACTGTGGGAGCTTCAAGCAGTGCAGACTAATGACTGGAGATTAAGGGCAAGTAGGAAAGAAAAAAGGATCAGGAAAAACCAAGGGTCACATTGCGGTGCAACACAGCTTTATTGCAGTCTGAGGTGGGGAAGAAGTTTGGACAAGAGCAGAGCCCAGACCAAGGCCAGCCAAAATCTCGTGGCTGTGGGCAGAGCTATAAAGAACATCAGCCCTACCACAGGAGAAGGCACCAAGACTGGGTCTCTGCTACCAAGGCAACAAATATGGAAGGGATGCTCAAGCAGGGCAGAAGAAATGAAGTGTTGGCCCAGAAGGAGGAATGAGGCGTCCAAGCTCTGGATTCCAGCAGTGCAGAAGAGATGTTCTTCCTTCGGGAATCATCATGTTGGGATATGCCAGGGGCTTTCCTAGAGCTCTCTGTTGTCTAAAGCTGGACCTGGGTAGGGCTTAGCAGCTCCCACAGCTGGCACCGAAGGGAAGGAGGCCTCTGCCCCAGCCTCCGTAACCACAGCCCCCAAAGCCTCCATAGCCACCAAAGCCTCCGTAGCCACCAAGGCCTCCATAGCCTCCACAGCTACCATAGCCACCAAGGCCTCCAAAGCCACCAAGACGTCCATAGCCACCATAGCCCCCGTAGCCTCCGTAGCCCCAGTAGCCACCAAGGCCTCCATAGCCACCATAGCCACCAAGGCCTCCATAGCCTCCAAATCCACCATAGCCTCCATAACTGCCACCATAGCCCCCAGCAATGGCAGGGACTCCCGCTGAGCCCACAACGCTGTGCTGTGGGAAGGAGCTGAGGATGGGTCCAGGGAAGGTGACCACTGAGGCCGGGGGCTGGATCACCACTGAGGAGCTCTGGCACTGACGCACGCAGGGCTCGTTGATGGTGTCAGCCAGCGGGCATGGGGCGGCCACCCCACAGGAAGGGGCACACAGGCTGGAGCAGGACATCTTTCAGGCAGGCAAGGAGTCCTGGAAAATGCACCAGGGATTAGGCAAGGGTGAGGGCAAGAAACTCTGTCAAGGGAGGCAGGGAGAGATCTGCAAGAGGCTCCTAAGAGCTGCACTTACCCGTTTGATCAGGAGAGTCAAGAGCAGGAATCTGGATAAAGGTTGCAAAGCCTTCACCTCTTTTATACACGTCCCAGGAGGACCAGGGCACCAGCCAAGGGGCGGGGGCAGAATCCACAAAGACTCATAGAAGCCAGTGGATAAACTTCATGACACATAGATAAGTAACTCCAGTCCCTCTTTACTGGGCTCAGTGGTATGCAAATGTTCCTTGTAGTGCGTATGGGTGATGGGATATGGCACTGCATAGTTCATGATAGACAGGACGCTGCTGTAGCTGACATGTCAGCATCAGTAAACCCAGGTCTGTCATTATTCCAGCACTTTGCCTACATGGAGAGTCACAAGCATCTCTCAGAAGTTTGCTGTGCCCAACCATGCTGTCCTCAGCAGCATCTCTGCTACTTAGTGAGCCAGGACTGCCCAGCGTGCCCATGCCTGCGGGGAGCATGGCCACGTGCACCCTGGCTCTCTGTGGGTGCTCATCAGCCTCTGTCACAGCCCTCAATGTCCAGCTGAGGAATCGAGGCCCTCCAGAGAGGCCTTAAAGCGGACCACCCTCACAGACATATGGCCAAGGAGGCTGGGGGAGTCCTTATTCACCTCCTGCTCTTCTGCCATCCGTGCACTTCCCCCTTTCCCACATGACCCTGCTGTTGGATCTATCACCCTGCTCCCCAAGCACGTCAGTGTTGAGCTCCCAGCATGTGGATCTTGCCCCAGATGGCAAATGCAGCTCCTACTCTTTGCATTTCTGCCCATTTCTGTCACGATCCTCAATCACACCCTGACTATCAAGGTCGTGGAGATGGCCAAGGCTTAAGCATGCTCCTGAGCTGTTTACCCAAAAGTGCATTTGGAAGATGGTGGTCCTTTGGGACCCATTCCAAGCATATGGAATGGCTTCTCTGCTTGCGCAACCACCCATTGCCTCTGTTTACCACCTTGTAAAAGAGAGGTAATGACAGACATTATGTCTGTGCTAAGGGTTTCAGAGCACTTCCACAAGGTTCCCAAGAATCCAGCACATGAGCAAAGTGGGAGGATTAGGGAGAGATGAGGATTTATAGCTGCTGTTGCGTGAATAATAATAGAGCCATATTCCATAGAAGGATGTGTCATAGTTTATGCTTCCTATCAGCTCTTTCTTAACACAATTTTTTTTATAATTAAACAACATATAATTGTTTCACATTAATGCTTGCGTCATGAAGTTTGCATGCTTCTCATCTTGATTACCTGTAGACAAGCTATATGACAGTAATATTCTGGGAGATGCCTGGGACTCTTCCATGTAGGCAAACATCGGGATTAGTGACAGATCTGTGTTTATTGATGCTGCCATGTCAGCTACAGCAGCATCTTGTCTGTCATGGAATGTGCTGTGCCAAATTCCTTCACCCATATGCACACCAGGACACCTTCACATACCACTGACCCCAGTAAAGAGGGACAAGGGTTACTTATCTAATTATGCGTGTCATGAAGATTGTTCATTAGCTTCCGTGAGTCCTTGCTGATTCTGCTCACACCCCATGGCTGATGCTCTGGGCAGTCTGGGATATGTATAAAAGGGCAGAAGACTTCACAGCCTCTATCCAGATTCCGGCTCTTGACTCTCCTAATCAAACGGGTAAGTGCAGCTCTTAGGAGCCTCTTGCAGATCTCTCCCTGCCTCCCTTGACAGAGTTTCTTGCCCTCATCTGCCCCTAATCCCTGGTACATTTTCCAGGACTCCTTGCCTGCCTGAAAGATGTCCTGCTCCAGCCTGTGTGTCCCTTCCTGTGGGGTGGCTGCCCCATGCCCACTGGCTGACACCATCAACGAGCCCTGCGTGCGTCAGTGCCAGAGCTCCTCAGTGGTGATCCAGCCCCCGGCTTCGGTGGTCACCTTCCCTGGACCCATCCTCAGCTCCTTCCCTCAGCACAGCGTTGTGGGCTCAGCGGGAGTCCCTGCCATTGCTGGGGGCTACGGCGGCAGTTTTGGAGGCTATGGTGGATTTGGAGGCTATGGTGGCTATGGAGGCCTTGGTGGCTATGGTGGCTACGGAGGCCTTGGATTCTACGGGGGCTATGGAGGCTATGGTAACTGCGGAGGCTATGGGCGTCTTGGTGGCTATGGAGGCCTTGGTGGCTATGGTGGCTATGGAGGCTATGGTAGCTGTGGAGGCTATGGAGGCTTTGGTGGATACAGAGGCTTTGGCGGCTACGGCGGCCTTGGAGGCTATGGAGGCTTTGGGGGCTGTGGATATGGAGGCTGGGGCCGCGGTCTCAGGTCCTTCGGTGGTTGGTGTGGCAGCTCGTAAAGCACACCTGGGACATGCCTCAGATGACAGAGAGATCCAGGAAAGCCACCGGCACATCTCAACATGATGATGCCCAAAAGAAGAACATCTCTTCCGCACTTCTGCCATTCAGAGCTTTGACACATTTTGCCTGTTGGAGCCCAACTCTGCCTTCCTCCTCCTCTGCTTGAGCATCATTTCCAGAGGCATTGACCTCTCAGATCAGAAACCCCCACCACGAGCCGGCTCCAGTGGAAGGGCTGATGCTCTTTGTAGTTCTGCCCACTGCCTGCAGTGGTTGCATTGCCTTGGTTGGCATAATCCAATTCTCCCAATTTTATCCCTGCTTCAAACTTCAATAAAAGCTGTGCTGTATCACAATGTTGAGCGTTTGTCTTTCCTGATCCGTTCTTCTTCTTTCTCTCTTGCCCTAAACCTCTGGCCTTCTTGTGCTGGGCTTCTTCAGTAATCCACAGTAGTGGTTTTGGAGCACTTGGGTGGCTTGCTCAGTCTGATGTGAATGAGGATGACCGTCTCATCTGGGTTCTGTGGAGGATGTCACAGCGAGCTTCCTCTGGTCTTCCTCCAGCAATAAACACAATACATTCCCAGAGCTCTCTTGGAAGACGTGAAAGCACCTTAGGTGTCATGTGGAATGTTTTCAAAATGCTCTGCAAAATGAGTATTGTACAATTGCCTCCCATTGTTGACTTCCATAATGGTCACATTGGAAGGTCCAGTTAAATGGAGAAAAAGAAATGCAAGTAGAGTGCTGCTGGCACATGCTGGTAATACCTCGTGCCCATTCAGGTATGGGTACTACTCAGAAAGGCACGCAAAAGTGTTCCCAAGTGTCTGCTCTGAGCCAGGATTTTCCCCCTATATCCAAGTCAAATGAAGCATAAAGCTTTTTGAGAGGGAGGTTGCAATGCCAACCCCATCAAGATCCTTCTCTTCCCCAGGTAACTTCCCATTGCGTGATCCGAGCGCTGCACTTTGGTCTTGTATACAGGCAGTTCCAGACAAAGGCATCAGGAGGGGCAAATTGACAGCACGTTGGTCTTTGCTGGGGAGCCCAGGTGAAGACATGTCCTCTGTCCCATATCTGCCTGGATTTTCCTGGACTTTCTCTCAGACACCTTTTATTCGGTGGCTCACATGGTGTCTCCTGTGTGTCCCCTGAGGACACTGTGGTGGGAGGGGGTTTGGGGGATCCCATCTCTGCTGCCATATCTGGGTGCTTTTGGAGCCATTTGGCAGCTTGGGCTTCATTGTGAGCTGGTATGAGTAGAAAGGCAGGAAAAGGCCAGCAAATCTGTTTCAGGTCACTGGGTGTAGGAAGTTGTCCTGTTGTTCCTGGGAGGTTCTGGGTCTGCAGTGTAAGGTGGGTTACATAGTTGTGAGGGCAGTCTGCAGCAGCAGTGATGGGCAGATGGGGCCAAAAATGCTCCGAGGAGCACTAGAAGAGGAAGAAAACACATGGTGCCACATTGCAGGAATGTGGAGGCAATGGAGTCAAGGCATCTGGGGAGGTGCTGGCAATTGGCGACACTCTTCTTTAGACCTGTATTCTAACAAGCAACTCTGAGGTGGATCTTTACCATTGAGATGACTTCATTGTTATGCCAGTCCCATGAGAGCTGGAGCTGCAGGCAGCTCATGGCAATGGCCAGAGTGGGCAGAAAATTCACTGCTGGTCCCAACAGTTCTTTTTGAGCCACGCAGTGCAGGAGCTTAAGGAGGGCAGAAGCCACGGAGGGAAAGAAAGATTAGCTGTGGTCAATGAGAATGCGCAGGGTCCCTGCTCTGGGCAACCCTCCCATAGCAACAGGTGATTTCTGAGGGAAAGCAGGAGGAAGCCAGACACCACCCAAAGGTCTCCTTCAAATGGTCATGGGTGGGAACTGTCTAGGACACTCATGGGAAACCATAATGCCACATGGGATATTGTGCATGGAGGAAGAATCAAATAAAACCAAAGGCCACCAATGTGATGCAACGCAGCTTTTATTGCAGTTTAAGGGGGAAAGGTGTTGGGACAAGAGCAGAGCCCCGAGCAAGGTCAGTCCAGCACTGCTGGCAGTTGGCAGTGCTCCAAATGGCATCAACCATGCTGCAGGAGCAGGAACCTAGTGTGGGTCTCTGTCATCATGGGGCAACGAGTCTTGAAAGAATGCTCAAGCAGGACAGGAGGAAAGCAGAGCTGGGCTCCAACAAGCAACAGGTGTCCAAGCTCTGGATCCCAGAAGTGATGAAAGGACGTTCTTCTTTAGGGTATCGTCAAGTTGGAATGTGCCATAGACTTCCCTGGAGCTCTTTGTTGTCTCAGGCCGGTCCCAGGTGGGGCTTACCAGCTGCCACACCAACCACCGAAGGACCTGAGACCGCGGCCCCAGCCTCCATATCCACAGCCCCCAAAGCCTCCATAGCCACCAAAGCCTCCATAACCACCAAAGCCTCCATAGCCACCAAAGCCTCCGTAGCCGCCAAAGCCTCCGTAGCCTCCACAGCTACCATAGCCTCCATAGCCCCAGTAGCCACCAAGGCCTCCATAGCCACCAAGGCCTCCATAGCCACCGTAGCCACCATAGCCTCCAAATCCTCCATAGCCTCCATAACTGCCGCCATAGCCCCCGGCAATGGCAGGGACTCCCGCTGAGCCCACAACGCTGTGCTGAGGGAAGGAGCTGAGGATGGGTCCGGGGAAGGTGACCACTGAAGCTGGGGGCTGGATCACCACCGAGGAGCTCTGGCACTGACGCACGCAGGGCTCATTGGTGGTGTCAGCCAGCGGGCACGGGGCGGCCACCCCACAGGAAGGGACGCACAGGCTGGAGCAGGACATTCTTCTCTTCAGGAGGTCAAGCTGCAGGAAAAGACAGAATTATGGCGCAGTACACAGCCTAAAGCCAAATCCCTCCTCTCTTTTTTGTGCTTTCGATCCTTGCTCCAGGACATTCCCTGTATCATGTCAGGCAGTCAGAGACAGCGCAGAAACCTGAGCTACAGTTGACATGCTGTTGGAAACCCCTTGCACTCCTCCATGCTCTATGAGCCTGAATGCCCCTGAGACTGACATAGGAAAAAGGACCCCACATCAATCACAGATAAGAAAACAGTGACCTCACAAGGGACTTGATTGCATTGGTTGAATTATAGATCTGACCTACAGGTTAAACTTCAAAGCTTTCCCTGTCTCTAAGAGAGCACCATCGCATCCTATCTATTATCATGAAAGGTGTTGGAGAAGACAGCCAAGAAATGTTATCAAAGATACACAGCTGAAGAAGGAAAAAAGGACGTAAGCCTGGGACTTACCTGAAGGATCAGGAGAGTCAAGAGGAAGAAGCTGGATAGGGAGCTCTGAAGCCCTCAGCTCTTTTATACATGTCCCACACTGCCTGGGGCAGTGGCCAGCGTCAGCGACAGAAGCCCAAGCTAAAGAGGAAATCAAGCTGTGAAGCCTCATGAAACAAAGTACGCATCCTCACTGGGGTTCGTAGCGAGCAAACGTGCCCTGGAGAGCAAACAGAGAATGGGAGGGGCAGATCACGACACGCCATGACATGAAAGACAAGGTGACCTCATGGCACCAATAAACCCCGATCGGTCCCTAATCCTCCCACTTTGCTCATGTGTTGGAGTCTTGGGCACCTTGCAGAAGTGCTTTGCAATCCTGGGCACAGCCATCACGCCTGTCATTACCTCTCTTTTACAAGGTGATAAACAGAGGCATGGGAGCTTGGGCAAAGACAGAAGCCTTTCCACATGCTTGGAATGACTTCTGAAGGGGCAAGGCATTCCAGCACCCTTTTGAGGCAACAGTTCAGAGCATCTCTGACCCTTGGCTTCCTCTATGACCTTGCTTTTCAGGGCGTCACTGGGCCTTACCGACCAAGAGGCATGAAATGAGTAGGAGCTGCATTTGATTTGTGGGGGGAGACTCATATGCTGGGAGCTCAGCATTTACGCCCTAGGTGAGCAATGACATCCAGCACCAGGCTCAGGGTGGGAAGGATACATGCACAGAGGCACAGGATGGCAAGAAGGGAACCATGACTCCCCCAGCTTCCTTGGCCACGTGTCTCTGAGTGTGGACCTCCTCGAGCCCTCTCTGCTGGGAACCAATTCCCTGAACTGAACATTGAGCGATAATACAGGAGAGGTTGATGAGCACCCAGAGGGAGCCAGGGTGCACATGGCCATGCTCCCCACAGGCCCAGCCATGCTGGGCACTACAGGCTCCATCAGATGTGGGCAGGCAAAGTGGGGGACTAAAGACAGTCTTGTGCTTATCGGTGTTGCAACGTCAGCTACAACAGCATCTTGTCTATCATGGAATGTGTCATGTCATCTTCCTTCACGCATGTGCATGCCAGGGCACCTTCACGTACCACTGACCCCAGTAAAGAGGGACAAGAGTTACTTATCTAATTATGCGTGTCATGATGCTTATCCTCTGGCGTCCTCGAGTATTTGCGGATTCTGCCCACACCCCATGGCTGATGCCCAGGGCAGTCTGGGAAATGTATAAAAGAGATGAGGGATTCAAAGCCTCTATCCAGATTCCTGCTCTTGTCTCTTTGGATAAATCGGGTAAGTGCAGCTCTTGGGAGACTCTTGCAGATCTCTCCCTGCCTCCCTTGACAGAGTTACTTGCCCTCACTCTTGCCTAATCCCTGGTGCATTTTCCAGGACTCCTTCCCTGCCTGAAAGATGTCCTGCTCCAGCCTGTGCGTACCTTCCTGTGGGGTGGCTGCCCCATGCCCACTGGCTGACACCGTCAATGAGCCCTGTGTGCGTCAGTGCCAGAGCTCCTCAGTGGTGATCCAGCCCCCGGCCTCAGTGGTCACCTTCCCCGGACCCATCCTCAGCTCCTTCCCTCAGCACAGCGTTGTGGGCTCAGCAGGAGTCCCTGCCATTGCTGGGGGTTACGGCGGCAGTTATGGAGGCTATGGTGGATTTGGAGGCTATGGTGGATTTGGAGGCTACGGGGGCTATGGTGGCTATGGAGGCCTTGGTGGCTATGTTGGCTACGGAGGCCTTGGTTTCTATGGGGGCTATGGAGGCTATGGTAGCTGTGGAGGCTACGGCGGCCTTGGAGGCTATGGAGGCTTTGGGGGCTGTGGATATGGAGGCTGGGGCCGCGGTCTCAGGTCCTTTGGTGGTTGGTGTGGCAGCTGGTAAGCCACACCTGGGACCTGACTCAGATGACAGAGGGATCCAGGAAAGCCTCTGGCACATCTCAACATGATGATGCCCAAAAGAAGAACATCTCTTCCGCACTTCTGCCATTCAGAGCTTCGACACATTTTGCCTGTTGGAGCCCAACTCTGCCTTCCTCCTCCTCTGCTTGAGCATCATTTCCAGAGGCATTGACCTCTCAGATCAGTAACCCCCACCACGTGCCGGCTCCAGTGGAAGGGCTGATGCTCTTTGTAGTTCTGTCCACTGCCTGCAGTGGTTGCATTGCCTTGGTTGGCATAATCCACTACTCCCAATTTTATCCCTGCTTCAAACTTCAATAAAAGCTGTGCTGTATCGCAATGTTGAGCGTTTGTTTTTCCTGATCCGTTCTTCTTCTTTCTCTCTTGCCCTAAACCTCTGGCCTTCTTGTGCTGGGCTTCTTCAGTAATCCACAGTAGTGGTTTTGGAGCACTTGGGTGGCTTGCTCAGTCTGATGTGAATGAGGATGACCGTCTCATCTGGGTTCTGTGGAGGATGTCACAGCGAGCTTCCTCTGGTCTTCCTCCAGCATTAAACACAATACATTCCCAGAGCTCTCTTGGAAGACGTGAAAGCACCTTAGGTGTCATGTGGAATGTTTTCAAAATGCTCTGCAAAATTAGTATTGTACAATTGCCTCCCATTGTTGGCTTCCATAATGGTCACATTGGAAGGTCCAGTTAAATGGAGAAAAAGAAATGCAAGTAGAGTGCTGCTGGCACATGCTGGTAATACCTCGTGCCCATTCAGGTATGGGTGCTACTCAGAAAGGCACGCAAATTTTTCCCAAGTGTCTGCTCTGAGCCAGGATTTTCCCCCTATATCCAAGTCAAATGAAGCATAAAGCTTTTTGAGAGGGAGGTTGCAATGCCAACCCCGTCAAGATCCCTCTCTTCCCCAGGTAACTTCCCATAGCGTGATCCTAGCACTGCACTTTGGTCTTGTATACAGGCAGTTCCAGACAAAGGCATCAGGAGGGGCAAATTGTCAGCACGTTGGTCTTTGCTGGGGAGCCCAGGTGAAGACATGTCCTCTGTCCCATATCTGCCTGGATTTTCCTGGACTTTCTCCCAGACACCTTTTATTCGGTGGCTCACGTGGTGTCTCCTGTGTGTCCGCTGAGGGCACTGTGGTGGGAGGGGGTTTGGGGGATCCCATCTCTGCTGCCATATCTGGGTGCTTTTGGAACCATTTGGCAGCTTGGGCTACATTGTGAGCTGGTGTGTGAGGAAAGGCAGGAAAAGGCCAGCAAATCTGTTTCAGGTCACTGGGGGTAGGAATTCGTCCTGCTGCTCCTGGGCCTAGCTGGGACTGCAGACTGGCTGTTGTGGACGCAGGAAATGGACAGTACAAGAATTTGGAGCAACAGTGAGGGGCAGATGGGAACAATAGTGCTCTGAGGAGCATTAGAAGATGGAGGAAACACAATAGGTGAACAGGGTGCCAGGTTGCAGGAATGTGAAGGCAATGGAGACAAGGCATTTGGTTATGATCTGGCAATTGGTGACACTCTTCTTTAGACCTGTATTCTAACAAGTAACTCTGAGGTGGACCTTTACCTTTGTGATGACTTCATTGTTCTGCCAGTCCCTTGAGAGCTGGAGCTGCAGGCAGCTCATGGGAATGGCCAGAGTGGGCAGAGAATGCACTGCTGGTCCCAACAGTTCTTTTTGAGCTGCACAGTGCAGGAGTTTAAGGAGAGCAGAAGCCACAGACAGAAAGAAAGATTAGCTGTGGTCAATGAGCATGAGCAGGGTCTCTGCTCTGGGCTACCCTCCCATAGCAGTAAGTGATTTCTGAGAGAAAGCAGGAGAAAGCCAGACGCCACCCAAAGGCCTCCTTCAAGTGGTCATGGGTGGGAACTGTCTAGGACACTCATGGGAAACCATAATGCCACATGGGATATTGTGCATAGTGTATGGAGGAAGTATCAAATAAAAGCAAAGGCCACCAATGTGATGCAACACAGTTTTTACTGCAGTTTAAGAGGGAAAGGATTTGGGACAAGAGCAGAGCCCCGAGCAAGGTCAGTCCAGCACTGCTGGCAGTGGGCAGTGCTCCAAATGGCATCAACCATGCTGCAGGAGCAGGAACCTAGTGCGGATCTCTGTCATCATGGGGCGAGTCTTAAAAGAATGCTCAAGCAGAGCAGGAGGAAGGCAGAGCTGGGCTCCAACAAGCAACAGGTGTCCAAGCTCTGGATCCCAGAAGTGATGAAAGGACGTTCTTCTTTAGGGTATCGTCAAGTTGGAATGTGCCAGAGACATCCGTGGAGTTCTTTGTTGTCTCAGGCCGGTCCCAGGTGGGGCTTACCAGCTGCCACACCAACCACCAAAGGACCTGAGACCGTGGCCCCAGCCTCCATATCCACAGCCCCCAAAGCCTCCATAGCCACCAAAGCCTCCGTAGCCTCCACAGCTACCATAGCCTCCATAGCCCCAATAGCCACCAAGGCCTCCATAGCCACCAAGGCCTCCATAGCCACCGTAGCCACCATAGCCTCCAAATCCTCCATAGCCTCCATAACTGCCGCCATAGCCCCCGGCAATGGCAGGGACTCCCGCTGAGCCCACAACGCTGTGCTGTGGGAAGGAGCTGAGGATGGGTCCGGGGAAGGTGACCACTGAGGCCGGGGGCTGGATCACCACCGAGGAGCTCTGGCACTGACGCACGCAGGGCTCATTGGTGGTGTCAGCCAGCGGGCACGGGGCGGCCACCCCACAGGAAGGGACGCACAGGCTGGAGCAGGACATTCTTCTCTTCAGGAGGTCAAGCTGCAGGAAAAGACAGAATTATGGTGCAATTAATGGCGTAATGCCAAATCCCTCCTCTCTTTTTTCTGCTTTCGATCCTTGCTCCAGGACATTCCCTGTATCATGTCAGGCAGTCAGAGACAGCGCAGAAACCTGAGCTACAGTTGACATGCTGTTGGAAACCCCTTGCACTCCTCCATGCTCTATGAGCCTGAATGCCCCTGAGACTGACATAGGAAAAAAGACCCCACATCAATCACAGATAAGAAAACAGTGACCTCACAAGGGACTTGATTGCATTGGTTGACTTATAGATCTGACCTACAGGTTAAACTTCAAAGCTTTCCCTGTCTCTAAGAGAGCACCGTCGCATCCTATCTATTATCATGAAAGGTGTTGGAGAAGACAGCCAAGAAATGTTATCAAAGACACACAGCTGAAGAAGGAAAAAAGGACGTAAGCCTGGGACTTACCTGAAGGATCAGGAGAGTCAAGAGGAAGAAGCTGGATAGGGAGCTCTGAAGCCCTCAGCTCTTTTATACATGTCCCACACTGCCTGGGGCAGTGGCCAGCGTCAGCGACAGAAGCCCAAGCTAAAGAGGAAATCAAGCTGTGAAGCCTCATGAAACAAAGTACGCATCCTCACTGGGGTTCGTAGCGAGCAAATGTGCCCTGGAGAGCAAACAGAGAATGGGAGGGGCAGATCACGACACGCCATGACATGAAAGACAAGGTGACCTCATGGCACCAATAAACCCCGATCGGTCCCTAATCCTCCCACTTTGCTCATGTGTTGGAGTCTTGGGCACCTTGCAGAAGTGCTTTGCAATCCTGGGCACAGCCATCACGCCTGTCATTACCTCTCTTTTACAAGGTGATAAACAGAGGCATGGGAGCTTGGGCAAAGACAGAAGCCTTTCCACATGCTTGGAATGACTTCTGAAGGGGCAAGGCATTCCAGCACCCTTTTGAGGCAACAGTTCAGAGCATCTCTGACCCTTGGCTTCCTCTATGACCTTGCTTTTCAGGGCGTCACTGGGCCTTACCGACCAAGAGGCATGAAATGAGTAGGAGCTGCATTTGATTTGTGGGTGGAGACTCATATGCTGGGAGCTCAGCATTTACGCCCTAGGTGAGCAATGACATCCAGCACCAGGCTCAGGGTGGGAAGGATACATGCACAGAGGCACAGGAGGGCAAGAAGGGAACCATGACTCCCCCAGCTTCCTTGGCCACGTGTCTCTGAGTGTGGACCTCCTCAAGCCCTCTCTGCTGGGAACCAATTCCCTGAACTGAACATTGAGCGATAATACAGGAGATGCTGATGAGCACCCAGAGGGAGCCAGGGTGCACATGGCCATGCTCCCCACAGGCCCAGGCATGCTGGGCACTACAGGCTCCATCAGATGTGGGCAGGCAAAGTGGGGGACTAAAGACAGTCTTGTGCTTATCGGTGTTGCAACGTCAGCTACAACAGCATCTTGTCCATCATGGAATGTGTCATGTCATCTTCCTTCACGCATGTGCACGCCAGGGCACCTTCACGTACCACTGACCCCAGTAAAGAGGGACAAGAGTTACTTATCTAATTATGTGTGTCATGATGTTTATCCACTGGCGTCCTCGAGTATTTGCGGATTCTGCCCACACCCCATGGCTGATGCCCCGGGCAGTCTGGGAAATGTATAAAAGAGATGAGGGATTCAAAGCCTCTATCCAGATTCCTGCTCTTGTCTCTTTGGATAAATCGGGTAAGTGCAGCTCTTGGGAGACTCTTGCAGATCTCTCCCTGCCTCCCTTGACAGAGTTTCTTGCCCTCACTCTTGCCTAATTCCTGGTGCATTTTCCAGGACTCCTTGCCTGCCTGAAAGATGTCCTGCTCCAGCCTGTGCGTACCTTCCTGTGGGGTGGCTGCCCCATGCCCACTGGCTGACACCGTCAATGAGCCCTGTGTGCGTCAGTGCCAGAGCTCCTCAGTGGTGATCCAGCCCCCGGCCTCAGTGGTCACCTTCCCCGGACCCATCCTCAGCTCCTTCCCTCAGCACAGCGTTGTGGGCTCAGCGGGAGTCCCTGCCATTGCTGGGGGTTACGGCGGCAGTTATGGAGGCTATGGTGGATTTGGAGGCTATGGTGGATTTGGAGGCTACGGGGGCTATGGTGGCTATGGAGGCCTTGGTGGCTATGGTGGCTATGGAGGCTATGGTAGCTGTGGAGGCTATGGAGGCTTTGGTGGATACAGAGGCTTTGGCGGCTACGGCGGCCTTGGAGGCTATGGAGGCTTTGGGGGCTGTGGATATGGAGGCTGGGGCCGCGGTCTCAGGTCCTTCGGTGGTTGGTGTGGCAGCTGGTAAGCCACACCTGGGACATGCCTCAGATGACAGAGGGATCCAGGAAAGCCACCGGCACATCTCAACATGATGATGCCCAAAAGAAGAACATCTCTTCCGCACTTCTGCCTTTCAGAGCTTTGACACATTTTGCCTGTTGGAGCCCAACTCTGCCTTCCTCCTCCTCTGCTTGAGCATCATTTCCAGAGGCATTGACCTCTCAGATCAGAAACCCCCACCACGAGCCGGCTCCAGTGGAAGGGCTGATGCTCTTTGTGGTTCTGCCCTGTGCCTGCAGTGGTTGCATTGCCTTGGTTGGCATAATCCACTACTCCCAATTTTATCCCTGCTTCAAACTTCAATAAAAGCTGTGTTGTATCGCAATGTTGGGCGTTTGTTTTTCCTGATCCGTTCTTCTTCTTTCTCTCTTGCTCTAAACCTCTGGCTTTCTTGTGCTGGGCTTCTTCAGTAATCCATAGTAGTGGTTTTGGAGCACTTGGGTGGCTTGCTCAGTCTGATGTGAATGAGGATGACCGTCTCATCTGGGTTCTGTGGAGGATGTCACAGCAGGCTTCCTCTGGTCTTCCTCCAGCAATAAACACAATACATTCCCAGAGCTCTCTTGGAAGACGTGAAAGCACCTTAGGTGTCATGTGGAATGTTTTCAAAATGCTCTGCAAAATTAGTATTGTACAATTGCCTCCCATTGTTGACTTCCATAATGGTCACATTGGAAGGTCCAGTTAAATGGAGAAAAAGAAATGCAAGTAGAATGCTGCTGTCACATGCTGGTAATATCTCCTGCCCAGTCAGGTATGGGTGCTACTCAGAAAGGCACGCAAAAGTCTTCCCAAGTGTCTGCTCTGAGCCAGGATTTTCCCCCTATATCCAAGTCAAATGAAGCATAAAGCTTTTTGAGAGGGAGGTTGCAATGCCAACCCCGTCAAGATCCTTCTCTTCCCCAGGTAACTTCCCATAGCGTGATCCTAGCACTGCACTTTGGTCTTGTATACAGGCAGTTCCAGACAAAGGCATCAGGAGGGGCAAATTGTCAGCACGTTGGTCTTTGCTGGGGAGCCCAGGTGAAGACATGTCCTCTGTCCCATATCTGCCTGGATTTTCCTGGACTTTCTCCCAGACACCTTTTATTCGGTGGCTCACGTGGTGTCTCCTGTGTGTCCGCTGAGGGCACTGTGGTGGGAGGGGGTTTGGGGGATCCCATCTCTGCTGCCATATCTGGGTGCTTTTGGAACCATTTGGCAGCTTGGGCTACATTGTGAGCTGGTGTGTGAGGAAAGGCAGGAAAAGGCCAGCAAATCTGTTTCAGGTCACTGGGGGTAGGAATTCATCCTGTTGCTCCTGGGCCTAGCTGGGACTGCAGACTGGCTGTGGTGGACGCAGGAAATGGACAGTACAAGAATTTGGAGCAACAGTGAGGGGCAGATGGGAACAATAGTGCTCTGAGGAGCATTAGAAGATGGAGGAAACACAATAGGTGAACAGGGTGCCAGGTTGCAGGAATGTGAAGGCAATGGAGACAAGGCATTTGGTTATGATCTGGCAATTGGTGACACTCTTCTTTAGACCTGTATTCTAACAAGTAACTCTGAGGTGGACCTTTACCTTTGTGATGACTTCATTGTTCTGCCAGTCCCTTGAGAGCTGGAGCTGCAGGCAGCTCATGGGAATGGCCAGAGTGGGCAGAAAATTCACTGTTGGTCCCAACAGTACTTTTTGAGCTGCACAGTGCAGGAGTTTAAGGAGAGCAGAAGCCACAGACAGAAAGAAAGATTAGCTGTGGTCAATGAGCATGAACAGGGTCTCTGCTCTGGGCTACCCTCCCATAGCAGTAAGTGATTTCTGAGAGAAAGCAGGAGAAAGCCAGACACCACCCAAAGGCCTCCTTCAAGTGGTCATGGGTGGGAACTGTCTAGGACACTCATGGGAAACCATAATGCCACATGGGATATTGCTCATTGTGCATGGAGGAAGAATCAAATAAAACCAAAGGCCACCAATGTGATGCAACGCAGCTTTTATTGCAGTTTAAGAGGGAAAGGAGTTGGGACAAGAGCAGAGCCCCGAGCAAGGTCAGTCCAGCACTGCTGGCAGTGGGCAGTGCTCCAAATGGCATCAACCATGCTGCAGCAGCAGGAACCTAATGTGGGTCTCTGTCATCATGGGGTAACGAGTCTTGAAAGGAGGAAGGCAGAGCTGGGCTCCAACAAGCAACAGGTGTCCAAGCTCTGGATCCCAGAAGTGATGAAAGGACGTTCTTCTTTAGGGTATCGTCAAGTTGGAATGTGCCATAGACTTCCCTGGAGTTCTTTGTTGTCTCAGGCCGGTCCCAGGTGGGGCTTACCAGCTGCCACACCAACCACCGAAGGACCTGAGACCGCGGCCCCAGCCTCCATATCCACAGCCCCCAAAGCCTCCATAGCCACCAAAGCCTCCGTAGCCACCGAAGCCTCCGTAGCCGCCAAAGCCTCCGTAGCCTCCACAGCTACCATAGCCTCCAAAGCCCAAATAGCCACCAAGGCCTCCATAGCCACCAAGGCCTCCATAGCCACCGTAGCCACCATAGCCTCCAAATCCTCCATAGCCTCCATAACTGCCGCCATAGCCCCCGGCAATGGCAGGGATTCCCGCTGAGCCCACAACGCTGTGCTGTGGGAAGGAGCTGAGGATGGGTCCGGGGAAGGTGACCACTGAAGCTGGGGGCTGGATCACCACCGAGGAGCTCTGGCACTGACGCATGCAGGGCTCATTGGTGGTGTCAGCCAGCGGGCACGGGGCGGCCACCCCACAGGAAGGGACGCACAGGCTGGAGCAGGACATTCTTCTGTTCAGGAGGTCAAGCTGCAGGAAAAGACAGAATTATGGCGCAGTACATGGCCTAATGCCAAATCCCTCCTCTCTTTTTTGTGCTTTCGATCCTTGCTCCAGGACATTCCCTGTATCATGTCAGGCAGTCAGAGACAGCGCAGAAACCTGAGCTACAGTTGACATGCTGTTGGAAACCCCTTGCACTCCTCCATGCTCTATGAGCCTGAATGCCCCTGAGACTGACATAGGAAAAAAGACCCCACATCAATCACAGATAAGAAAACAGTGACCTCACAAGGGACTTGATTGCATTGGTTGACTTATAGATCTGACCTACAGGTTAAACTTCAAAGCTTTCCCTGTCTCTAAGAGAGCACCGTCGCATCCTATCTATTATCATGAAAGGTGATGGAGAAGACAGCCAAGAAATGTTATCAAAGATACACAGCTGAAGAAGGAAAAAAGGACGTAAGCCTGGGACTTACCTGAAGGATCAGGAGAGTCAAGAGGAAGAAGCTGGATAGGGAGCTCTGAAGCCCTCAGCTCTTTTATACATGTCCCACACTGCCTGGGGCAGTGGCCAGCATCAGCGACAGAAGCCCAAGCTAAAGAGGAAATCAAGCTGTGAAGCCTCATGAAACAAAGTACGCATCCTCACTGGGGATCGTAGCGAGCAAACGTGCCCTGGAGAGCAAACAGAGAATGGGAGGGGCAGATCACGACACGCCCTGACATGAAAGACAAGGTGACCTCATGGCACCAATAAACCCCGATCGGTCCCTAATCCTCCCACTTTGCTCATGTGTTGGAGTCTTGGGCACCTTGCAGAAGTGCTTTGCCGTCCTGGGCACCGCCATCACGCCTGTCATTACCTCTCTTTTACAAGGTGATAAACAGAGGCATGGGAGCTTGGGCAAAGACAGAAGCCTTTCCACATGCTTGGAATGACTTCTGAAGGGGCAAGGCATTCCAGCACCCTTTTGAGGCAACAGTTCAGAGCATCTCTAACCCTCGGCTTCCTCTATGACCTTGCTTTTCAGGGCGTCACTGGGCCTTACCGACCAAGAGGCATGAAATGAGTAGGAGCTGCATTTGATTTGTGGGTGGAGACTCATATGCTGGGAGCTCAACATTTACGTCCTATGTGAGCAATGACATCCAGCAGCTGGCTCTTGGGTGGGAAGGATACATGCACAGAGGCACAGGATGGCAAGAAGGGAACCATGACTCCCCCAGCTTCCTTGGCCACGTGTCTCTGAGTGTGGACGTCCTCAAGCCCTCTCTGCTGGGAACAAATTCCCTCAACTGAACGTTAAGGGCTAATACAGGAGAGGTTGATGAGCACCCAGAGGGAGCCAGGGTGCACATGGCCATGCTCCCCACAGGCCCAGCCATGCTGGGCTCTACAGGCTCCATCAGATGCGGGCAGGCAAAGTGGGGGACTAAAGACAGTCTTGTGCAACGTCAGCTACAACAGCATCTTGTCTATCATGGAATGTGTCAAGCCATATTCATTTACCCATATGTACTCCAGGGCACCTTCGCATACCACTGACCCCAGTAAAGAGGGACAAGAGTTACTTATCTAATTATGTGTGTCATGATGCTTATCCCCTGGCTTCCATGAGTATTTGCGGATTCTGCCCACACCCCATGGCTGATGCCCCGGGCAGTCTGGGAAATGTATAAAAGAGATGAGGGATTCAAAGCCTCTATCCAGATTCCTGCTCTTGACTCTCCTGATCAATCAGGTAAGTGCAGCCCTGGGAGCCTCTTGCAGATCTCTCCCTGCCTCCCTTGACAGAGTTTCTTGCCCTCACCCTTGCCTAATCCCTGGTGCATTTTCCAGGACTCCGTACCTGCCTGAAAGATGTCCTGCTCCAGCCTGTGCGTCCCTTCCTGTGGGGTTGCTGCCCCGTGCCCGCTGGCTGACACCATCAATGAGCCCTGTGTGCGTCAGTGCCAGAGCTCCTCAGTGGTGATCCAGCCCCCAGCCTCTGTGGTCACCTTCCCTGGACCCATCCTCAGCTCTTTCCCTCAGCACAGCGTTGTGGGCTCAGCGGGAGTCCCTGCCATTGCTGGGGGTTACGGTGGCAGTTATGGAGGCTATGGTGGATTTGGAGGCTATGGTGGCTACGGTGGCTATGGAGGCCTTGGTGGCTATGGAGGCCTTGGTGGCTATTGGGGCTATGGAGGCTATGGTGGCTGTGGAGGCTACGGAGGCTTTGGCGGCTACGGAGGCTTTGGTGGCTATGGAGGTTTTGGGGGCTGTGGATATGGATGCTGGGGCCCCGGTCTCAGGTCCTTTGGTGGTTGGTGTGGCAGCTGGTAAGCCACACCTGGGACACGCCTCAGATGACAGAGAGATCCAGGAAAGCCTCTGGCACATCTCAACATGATGATGCCCAAAAGAAGAACATCTCTTCCGCACTTCTGCCATTCAGAGCTTTGACACCTTTTGCCTGTTGGAGCCCAACTCTGCCTTCCTCCTCCTCTGCTTGAGCATCATTTCCAGAGTCATTGACCTCTCAGATCAGAAACCCCCACCACGTGCCTGCTCCAGTGGAAGGGCTGGTGTTCTTTGTAGTTCTGCCCACTGCCTGCAGTGGTTGCATTGCCTTGGTTGGCATAATCCAATTCTCCCAATTTTATCCCTGCTTCAAACTTCAATAAAAGCTGTGTTGTATCGCAATGTTGGGCATTTGTTTTTCCTGATCCGTTCTTCTTCTTTCTCTCTTGCCCTAAACCTCTGGCCTTCTTGTGCTGGGCTTCTTCAGTAATCCATAGTAGTGGTTTTGGAGCACTTGGGTGGCTTGCTCAGTCTGATGTGAATGAGGATGACCGTCTCATCTGGGTTCTGTGGAGGATGTCACAGCGAGCTTCCTCTGGTCTTCCTCCAGCAATAAACACAATACATTCCCAGAGCTCTCTTGGAAGACGTGAAAGCACCTTAGGTGTCATGTGGAATGTTTTCAAAATGCTCTGCAAAATGAGTATTGTACAATTGCCTCCCATTGCTGGCTTCCATAATGGTCACATTGGAAGGTCCAGTTAAATATTGAGAAAAAACATGCAAGTAGAGTGCTGCTGCCGCATTCTGCCCATGTTCCCATGCCCAGTCAGGTATGGGTACTACTCAGAAATGCACACAAAAGTCTTCCCAAATGTCTTCACTGAGCCAGGATTTTCTCTCTGTATCCAAGTCAAATGAAGCATAACGCTTTTTGAGAGGGAGGTTGCAATGCCAACCCCGTCAAGATCCCTCTCTTCCCCAGGTAACTTCCCATAGCGTGATCCTAGCGCTGCACTTTGGTCTTGTATACAGGCAGTTCTAGGCAAAGGTATCAGGAGGGGCAAATTGACAGCACGTTGGTCATTGCTGGGGAGCGCAGGTAAATACATGTGCTCTGTGCCATATCTGCCTGGATTTACCTGCACTTTCTCTCAGACATCTTTTATGTGGTGTCTCACGTGGTGTCTCCTGTGTGTCCGCTGAAGGCACTGTGGTGGGAGGGGGTTTGGGTGGTCCCATCTCTGCTGCCATATCGGGGTGATTTTGGAACCATTTGGCTGTACATGATACATTGTGAGCTGGTATGTGAGGAAGGGCAGGAAAAGGCCAGCAAGGTCTTTTTTGGATCACTGGCTGTAGGAAACCCTCCTGTTCTTCCAGGGAACTTCTGGGTCTGCAGTGTGAGGTGGGTAACATGGCTGGGAAGACATTCTGAAGTAGCAGTGAGGGGCAGATTGGGCCAAAAGTGCTCCAAGGAGCTTTAGAAGATGGGGGAAACACAATAGGTGAACATGGTGCCAGGTTGCAGGAACATGGAGGCAATGGAGGCAAGGCATTTGGGGAGGATCTGGCAATTGGTGACACTCTTCTTTAGACCTGTATTCTCACAAGTGACTCTGAGCTGGACTTTCACCTTTGAGATGGCTCCATTGTCTTACCAATCGCATGACAGCTGGAGGTGCAGGCAGCTCATGGCAATGGCCAGAGTGGGCAGAAAATACACCGCTGGTCCCAACAGCTCTTTTTGAGTTGCACAGTGCAAGAGCTTAAGGAGAGCAGAAGCTACGGAGGGAAAGAAAGATTAGCTGTGGTCAATAAGCATGAGCAGGGTCCTTGCTCTGGGCAACCCTCCCATAGTAACAAATGATTTCTGAGAGAAAGCAGGAGAAAGCCAGACACCACCCAAAGGTCTCCTTCAAAAGGTTATGGGTGGGAACTGTCTAGGACACTCATGGGAAACCATAATGCCACATGGGATATTGTGCATGGAGGAAGAATCAAATAAAACCAAAGGCCACCAATGTGATGCAACTCAGCTTTTATTGAAGTTTAAGTAGGGAAAGGTGTAGGGAGAAGAGCAGAGCCCCAAGCAAGATAAGTCCCGCACTGCTGGCAGTGGGCAGTGCTCCATAGGGCATCAACCATGCTGCAGGAGCAGGAACCTAGTGTGCGTCTCTGTCATCGCGCGATGATGAGTCTTGTAGAGATGCTCAAGCAGAGCAGGAGGAAGGCAGAGCTGGGCTCCAACAAGCAAGAGGCATCCAACCTCTAGATCCCAGCAGTGATGGAATGAATGTTCTTCCTTTCGGCATCGTCATGTTGGCATATGCCATAGGCTTTTCTGAAGCTCTCTATTGTCAGAGGCCAGACACCGGTGGGGTTTAGCAGCTGCCACACCAACCACCGAAGGACCTGAGGCCTCGGCCCCAGCCTCCATATCCACAGCCCCCAAAGCCTCCGTAGCCACCAAAGCCTCCATAGCCGCCAAAGCCTCCGTAGCCTCCACAGCTACCATAGCCTCCATAGCCACCATAGCCACCAAGGCCTCCATAGCCCCCGTAGCCACCATAGCCTCCAAATCCACCATAGCCTCCATAACTTCCGCCGTAGCCCCCAGCAATGGCAGGGACTCCCGCTGAGCCCACAACGCTGTGCTGAGGGAAGGAGCTGAGGATGGGTCCGGGGAAGGTGACCACTGAGGCCGGGGGCTGGATCACCACTGTGGAGCTCTGGCACTGACGCACGCAGGGCTCATTGGTGGTGTCAGCCACTGGGCATGGGGCGGCCACCCCACAGGAAGGTACACAAAGGCTGGAGCAGGACATTCTTGTCTTTGGAAGGTCAAGCTGCAGGAGAAGACAGAGTTATGGTGCAGTACATGGCCTGATGACAAATCCATCCTCACTCTATTCTACTTGGAACGTCTGCTCCAGGATGTTCCCTGGATCATCTCAGGCAGACAGAGCACAACCTGTTCCACATTTGACATGCTGCTGTAAACCCCTTGCACTCCTCTATGCTCTATGAGCCTGAATACCCCTTGGGAAAAAGACCCAACATCAAACACAGATAAGGTATCAATGACCTCACAAGTCACTTGAGTGCATTTGTATACTTATAGATCTCACATGGAAGAATAAAATTCAAGTTCTTTCCTTTCTCTAAAAGAGCACCATCACATCCTATCTATATTTATGAAAGCTGATGGAGATGACAGCAAAGAGATGTTGACAAGGACACACAGCTAAAGAAGAAAAGAAGAACATAAGAACATAAGTCTAGGACTTACCACAGTGATCAGGCGAGTCAAGTGGAAGAAGCTGGATAGGGAGCTGTGATGCCCGCAGCTCTTTTATACATGTCCCACACTGCCTGGAGCAGTTGCCAGCATCAGTGACAGAAGCCTCAGCTAATAATGAAGTCAAGGGCTGAAGCCTCATGAAACAAAGAACGCATCCTCACTGGGGACAGAAGCATGCAAACCTGCCCTGAGAGCAAACAGGGAATGGGTGGAACTGACCATGACACGCCATGACATGAAAGACAAGGCGATGCTGTAGCTGACCTCATGGCACCTTAAACCCCGATCGGCTCCTAATCCTCCCGCTTTGCTTATGTGCTGGAGTCTTGGGCACCTTGCAGAAGTGCTTTGCAATCCTGGGCACAGCACGCACGCCTGTCATTACCTCTCTTTTACAAGGTGGTAAACAGAGGCACGGGGAGCTTGGGCAAAGACAGAAGCCATTCCACATGCTTAGAATGACTTCTGAAGGCCCAAGACATTCCAGGACCCTTTTGGGGTAACAGTTCAGAAGCATCCCTAAACGTGGGCCATCTCTATGACCTTGCTTATCAGGTTGTGGCTGTGTCTTATCAACTAAGATCCATGCAAAGAGTAGAAGCTGCATTAGATGTGTCGGGGAGGAGACCTAAATGCTGGGATCTCAACATTTTCTTGTTAGGGAAGCACTGAGATCCAGCAGCAGGGTCATAGGTGAGAAGGAGAAATGAACAGAGGCGCAGGAGGGCAGGAAAGGAGAAAGGACTCCCCCAGCTTCCTTGGCCGCGTGTTTGTGAGCGCGGACCTTCTCGAGCCCTCTCTGGAAAGACTCAGCTCCTTAACTGGACATTGGGGGCTGCTACAGGAGAGGCTGATGAGGACCTACAATGAGCCAGTGGGCACATGGTCATGCTCCTGACAGGCACAGGCATGCTGGGCACTGCTGAATCTCTCAGCAATGGGAAGACAAAGGGGGGGTTAATGACAGACCTGTGTTTGTGAGTGATGCAAGGTCAGCGACAGAAGAACCTTGTCTATCATGGAATGTGCTGTGCCATATCCCATCGCCCATATGCACTCCAGGGCACAGTCGCATACCACTGACCCCAATAAAGAGGGACCAGAGTTACTTATGTAATTATGTGTGTCATGAAGTTTATCCACTGTCTTCCATGAGTATTTGTGGGTATCATTCACACCCCATGGCTGTTGACCCAGCAGTCTGGGATAAGTATAAAAGAGCTGAAGGCTTCACAGCCTCTACCCAAATTCTTGCTCTTGACTCTCCAGATCAATCAGGTAAGTGCAGCTCTTGCAGTCTCTTGCAGATCTCTCCCTGCCTCCCTTGACAGGGTTTCTTGCCCTCACCCTTGCCTAATCCCTGGTGCATTTTCCAGGACTCCATACCTGCCTGAAAGATGTCCTGCTCCAGCCTGTGTGTCCCTTCCTGTGGGGTGGCTGCCCCCTGCCCACTGGCTGACACCATCAATGAGCCCTGCGTGCGTCAGTGCCAGAGCTCCTCAGTGGTGATCCAGCCCCCGGCTTCGGTGGTCACCTTCCCCGGACCCATCCTCAGCTCCTTCCCTCAGCACAGCGCTGTGGGCTCAGCGGGAGTCCCTGCCATTGCTGGGGGCTACGGAGGCAGTTATGGAGGATATGGAGGATTTGGAGGCTATGGAGGCTTTGGGGGTTATGGTGGCTATGGAGGCCTTGGTGGCTTTGGGGGTTATGGAGGCTATGGTAGCTGTGGAGGCTATGGAGGCTTTGGTGGCTACGGAGGCTTTGGGGGCTGTGGATATGGAGGCTGGGGCCGCGGTCTCAGGTCCTTCGGTGGTTGGTGTGGGAGTTGCTAAGCCCCTCTCATGTCCAGCCTCAGAAGACAGAGATCTCCAGGAAAGCCTCTGGCATGTCCCAACATGATGATGCCCAAAAGAACATCGCTTCGGTACTCCTGGCATCAACAGGTTCCATGCCTCTTGCCTGTTGGAGCCCTACTCTGCCTCCCTTCTCCTCTACTTGAGCACCCTTTCCACATACGTTGCCCACTTATAAAAGAAACCGGCACAAGGTGCCTGCTCCAGTGGCAGGGCTGATGCTCTTTATAGTTCTTCCCATGGAATGGAGACCTTGGATGGCCTTGGTTGTGTTGCTGCATTTCTCCCATTTCCTTCCCCACCTCAATCTTCAATAAAATCTCTGTTGTATCGCAGTGTTGATCCTTTGGTTTTTTTCTGAGCCTTACTTCTTCTTTCTCACTTGCCCCAGACCTCTGGGCTTCTTAGGCTGGGTTACTTGAATAACAAATAGCAGTGCCTTTGGGGCATTTGAGTGGCTGGATTCAGTGCTCAGTGTGATTCAAATGATGATGACTGTCAAAACTGTGTCTTGTACAGGATGTTGTTGGGGGCTTCCTCTGGTCTCCATTTAGCAATAAATGAAATATGGATCCATTGGCCTGTTTGGGGATGTGAAAGCACCATAGGTGTCTCATGGACGGTCTTCCAAGTGCTCTCCAAAACTGGCATGGTGCCATTGCCTCTCTTTGTTAGATTTGCATTGGTCACATTGGGTGGTCCAGGGAAATGGAGAGAAAAACTTTGCTTCGACAGTGCTGCTGCCACATGCTGGACATGTCCCTGTGCTCAGCCAGGGATGGGTACGAATCTGAAAATGCATGATAGACACAGCCAAGTCTTCCCAAATGTCCTCTCTGAGACAGGATTTTCCCCTAGTATGCAAGTCAAAGGAAGCATACAGCTGTTTGAGAGGGAGGTTGCATTGCCAACACTGCCAAGGTCCCTCCCTTCCCCAGGTAACTTCCCATCGTGTGATCCCAGCACTGCACTTTGGTCTTGTACACAGGCAGTTTCAGACAAAGCCATTCAGGAAGGGTAAATTGACAGCATGTTGGTCATTGCTGGGGAGCCCAGAAAAAGAGGGATCAATTGTCCCATATCTGCCTGGATTTACCTGCACTTTCTCTCAGACACCTTTTATGTGGTGCTTCATGCGATGTCCCCTGTGTTTCTGCTGAGGGCACCATGGTGGAAGGGGGTTTGGGTGATCCCATCTCTGCTGTAGGAGCACTGGCTGTACGAAGCCCTCCTGTTGTTCCAGGGAACTTCTGGGTCTGCAGTGTGAGGTGGGTAACATGGCTGGGAAGACATTCTGAAGTAGCAGTGAGGGGCAGATGGGGCCAGAAGTGCTCTGAGGAGCATTAGAAGATGGAAGAAACACTGCAGGTGAACGCAGTGCCAGGTTGCAGGAATGTGGAGGCAATGGAGGCAAGGCATTTGGGGAGGATCTGGCAATTGGTGACACTCTTCTTTAGACCTGTATTCTCACAAGTGACTCTGAGCTGGACCTTTACCTTTGAGATGGCTCCATTGTCTTACCAATCGCATGACAGCTGGAGGTGCAGGCAGCTCATGGCAATGGCCAGAGTGGGCAGAAAATTCACTGCTGGTCCCAACAGTTCTTTTTGAGATGCACAGTGCAGGAACTTAAGGAGAGCAGAAGCCACGGAGGGAAAGAAAGACTAGCTGTGGTCCATGAACATGGCCATAGTCCCTGCTCTGGGCAGCCCCCACATAGCAACAGGTGATTACTGAGAGAAAGCAGGAGGAAGTCAGACACCACCCAAAGGTCTCCTTCAAAAGGTCATGGGTGGGAACTGTCTAGGACACTCATAGGAAACATAATGCCACATGGGATATTGTGCATGGAGGAAGAGTCAAATAAAACCAAAGGTCAGCACTACGATGCAACACAGCCTTTATTGCAGTTTAAGGGGGAAAGGAGTAAGGACAAGAGCAGAGCCCCGAGCAAGGTCAGTCCAGCACTGCTGGCAGTGGGCAGTGCTCCAAAGGGCACCAACCATGCTGCAGGAGCAGGAGCCTAATGTGGGTCTCTGTCATCAGGGGGTAACAAGTCTTGAAGGGATGATCAAGTAGGGCAGGAGGAAGGCAGAGCTGGGCTCCAACAAGCAGCAGGCATCCAACCTCTAGATCCCAGCAGTGATGAAAGGAATGTTCCTCCTTTGGGGATCATCATGTTGGCATATGCCAAAGGCTTTTCTGGAGCTCTCTATTATCTGAGGCCAGATGCCAGTGGGGTTTAGCAGCTTCCACAGCTGGCACCGAAGGACAGGAGGCCTCGGCCCCAGCCGCCATATCCTCCACAGCCACCAAAGCCTCCGTAGCCACCGAAGCCTCCGTAGCCACCAAAGCCTCCATAGCCTCCACAGCTACCATAGCCTCCATAGCCACCATAGCCACCAAGGCCTCCATAGCCTCCATAGCCTCCGAATCCACCGTAGCCACCAAAACTGCCACCATAGCCCCCAGCAATGGCAGGGACTCCCGCTGAGCCAACAGCACTGTGCTGAGGGAAGGAGCTGAGGATGGGTCCAGGGAAGGTGACCACCGTGGCTGGGGGCTGGATCACCACTGAGGAGCTCTGGCACTGACGCACGCAGGGCTCGTTGGTGGTGTCAGCCAGGGGGCATGGGGCGGCCACCCCACAGGAAGGGACGCACAGGCTGGAGCAGGACATTCTTCTCTTCAGGAGGTCAAGCTGCAGGAGAAGACAGAGTTATGGTGCAGTACATGGCCTGATGACAAATCCATCCTCACTCTATTCTACTTGGAACCCTTGCTCCAGGACATGCTCTGATCATCTCAGGCAGCCAGAGCAAAATCCCATCCCACACTTGGCATGCTGCTGTAACCCCCTTGGTCTCCTCAATGATTCCTTATCCTGACTGCCACATAGGAAAAAAGTCCCCGCATCAAATGCAGATAACAGTGACCTCACAAGGGACTTGAGGGCATCAGTATAGTCATAGATCTGACCTAAAGGTTAAAATTCAGACATATCCCTTTCTCTGAAAGAGCACGATCAAATCCTATCCTTATGAAAAGTGATGGAGAAGACAGCAAAGAGATGTTGACAAAGATACACAGCTGAAGAAGGAAAGAAGGACGTAAGTCTGGGACTTACCTGAATGATCAGGAGAGTCAAGAAGAAGAAGCTGGATAGGGAGCTCTGAAGCCCACAGCTCTTTTATACATGTCCCACACTGCCTGGGGCAGTGGCCAGCATCAGCAACACAAGCCCCAGATAATGATGAAATCAAGCTGTGAAGCCTCATGAAACAAAGTAAGTCCATCCTCACTGAGGAGAGTAGCAAGCAAACGTGTACTGGAGAGCAAAACCAGAATGGGAGGAACAGATCTTGACACACCATGACATGAAAGACAAGGTGATGCTGTAGCTGACCTCATGGCACCAATAAACCCCAATTGGTCCCTAATCCTCCCACTTTGCTCATGTGTTGGAGTCTTGGGCACCTTGCAGAAGTGCTTTGCATTCCTGGGCACAGCCAGCACACCTGGTTTTACCTCTCTTTTACATGGCGGTAAACAGAGGTACAAGGAGGTTAAGCAAAGGGAGAGGACATTCCACATTCTAAAGGCCCAAGACATTCCAGTACCCTTTTGGGGCAGCAGTTCAGAACCATTCCTAAAAGTGGGCCATTTCTATGACCTTGCTTATCAGGGTGTGACGGAGCCTTACCGACCAAGAGCCATGCTAAGAGTAGGAGCTGCAGTTGCTGTGTGTGGGGAGAATCACAGGCTGGGAGCTCAACACTGACATGTTAGGGGAGCAGTGATATCTGACAGCAGGTGAGAAGGAGACATGCACAGAGGGGCAGGAGGGCAAGGGAACGAAGACTCCCCCAGGTTCCCTGGCCACGTGTCTGTGAGTGTGATCTGCGTCAAGTCCGCTCTGGAGGGACTCAATTCCTCAACTGGACATTAAGGGCTGATACAGGAGAGGCTGATGAGCACCCACAGTGAGCCAAGGTGTGCGTGGCCACGCTGCCTACAGGCACAGGCACGCTGGACACTGCTGGCTCACTCAGCAGTGGATAGGCAAAGAGGGGGATTAATGTCAGATCCGTGTTTATTGGTGCTGCAAGGTCAGCTACAGCAACTTGTCTATCATGGAATGTGTCATGCTATACCCCATCACCCGTATGCACTCCAGGGCACATTCACATACCACTGACCCCAATACAAAGGGCCAAAAGTTTCTAGTCTTATTAATTGTGTCATGAAGCTTATCCACTGTCTTCCATGAGTCCTTGGGGATTCTGACCACTCCCCCTGGCCTATGCCCTGGGAGCCTGGGACGTGTATAAAAGAGCTGAAAGCCTCACAGCCTCTATCCAGATTCCTGCTCTTGACTCTCCTGATCAAACGGGTAAGTGCAGCTCTTGGGAGCCTCTTGCAGATCTCTCCCTGCCTCCCTTGACAGAGTTTCTTGCCCTCACCCTTGCCTAATCCCTGGTGCATTTTCCAGGACTCCGCACCTGCTTGGAAGATGTCCTGCTCCAGCCTGTGTGTCCCCTCCTGTGGGGTGGCCACCCCATGCCCCCTGGCTGACACCACCAACGAGCCCTGCGTGCGTCAGTGCCAGAGCTCCACAGTGGTGATCCAGCCCCCGGCTTCAGTGGTCACCTTCCCCGGACCCATCCTCAGCTCCTTCCCTCAGCACAGCGCTGTGGGCTCAGCGGGAGTCCCTGCCATTGCTGGGGGTTACGGTGGCAGTTTTGGAGGCTATGGTGGATTTGGAGGCTACGGAGGCTATGGGGGCTATGGAGGCCTTGGTGGCTTTGGTGGCTATGGAGGCTATGGTAGCTGTGGAGGCTACGGAGGCTTTGGTGGCTACGGAGGCTTTGGGGGCTGTGGATATGGCGGCTGGGGCCGAGGCCTCCTGTCCTTCGGTGCCAGCTGTGGGAGCTGCTAAGCCCCACCATGGTCCATCCTCAGACAACTGAGAGCTCCAGGAAAGCCTCTGGCACATATCAACATGATGATGCCCAAAGGAAGATCTTCCCTTCAGCACTTCCAGTTTTCAAATCTTGGAAGCCTCCTGACAGCTTTTGTCCCATTTTTTTTTTTTCATTTCCTGCTTGAGCATCCCCTTAAGACTCATTTCTCTCTGGTGACAGAGACTCACATCACGTGCCTACTCCAGTGGCAGAGCTGATGCTCTGTGTTGTTCTGCCCATGGCCTGGAGATGTTGGGGACCTGCTTTTTCCCCAGTTACTTCCCCACCTCAAACTTCAATAAAAGCTGTGTTGCATCACAGTGTTGTCTCTTTCTTTTTCCTGTTCCTTTCTTCTTCTTTCCCACATGCCCTTAACCTCTGGGCTCCTTGGTCTTGGCTGCCTGAATGCCCCATGGTTGTGCCCTTTGATCATTTAGGCAGCTTGTTCACTGTATTCTAACTAATGATGACTGTCCTGTATCAGTCTTGTAGAGTGCATCCCAGTGAGATTCCTTGGGTCTCCCTCCCGCATTAAACACTATGTATTTCAAAGCTCACATGGATGCACCATATCTTCTTGTAGAAGCTCTCCCAAATCCTCTCTAAAACCAGCATGCTGTCATTGCTTCCTTTTGTTCGCTTCTTATTGGTCACCTTTGGAGGTCAAGGGAAATGGAGTTTAAATCCATGCTTCTGCCATATGCTTGCCATGTCCCCTTGCCGAGCATGTCTCCCATCCGTTCCTGACACAAGCTGTTTCCATCTCTGCCCATCCTCACATCTGGCCAGACTCCCCTGCAGTGGCTCTTGGACATAGAACAGGTTCTGGCTCACATGGTGTGCCCTGAGGGTATTGCACTGAAATAGGGTTTTGAGGCAAGGCATTTGGCAAGATGCTGGGCATTGGTGACACTCTCCCTCTTTGTCCCATGGCCTCCCAAGTGACTCTGAGCTGGGCCTTTCCTGTGTGGGTGGTTCCATTAGAGTCCCAATCCCGGGAGGCCTGGGGATGCAGGCAGCCCAAGGGAATGGCTTGATTGGGCGGTAAACTCACTGCTGGTCCTAACACTTCTTGAGCTACACAGTGACAGAGCATAAGGAGGGGAGAAGACATGGAAGGCAAAGAGGGAAAAGCTTTGGTCAATGGGGATGGGCATAGACCCTACTCTGGATAAACCTCACATAGCAAGATGTGATTCCTGAAGGAAAGCAGGTAGAAGCTAGGCAGATCCCAAATGTCTTCTTGAAAATCAACCTGACAAGAGTCATGACAGATAGTGATGAGATACAATGATATTCCTTTTCTTTGGGGACATTGGCATGCAATGTGCCCTTGACAGAATGAGGGTGATGGGAGGGACTAACCATGTCATGCTCCATCCCTGGCAGTATTCAAGGCCAGGTTGGACAGATCTTGGGTGACATCGTCTAGTGTGAGGTGTCCCTGCCCATGGCAGGGAGGTTGGAAATAAATGATCTTAAGCTGCATTCCAACCCTAATTATTCTATGATTCTATTATTAAATGAAAGATACCACAGCAGCAGCTGTGCTTTGTCTTTTTTATAGTGTGTGTCATTGTGTCCCATTTTGCCTGCCAAGAACCATCAACAGCATCTTGCAGAACATTCCTGTGCCCAGCCACACCAAGCTCAGCAGCCATCCAGCCAGACTCCCAGAACCAGCAGTGCCCACCATGCCTCCGACTCCAGCCAATGTGGCCATATCAAACCCTGGAGAAGACCGTGCTCACAGACATGAGGCTGAACCAAATGACAGTGACCTGGCCCCGCTGCTGCACTTCTGCTCCTCCATATATGTGTGTGTGCGTGTGTTTTCCCATCAGAGGTCTCCTGCGCTCTATCCCACTGCCTGCACATCGCATCTCTTCCAGCCCCCTGTGTGTTTCCAGTTCTGCCATGCATGGACACATCTCCTCTACCCTTTCCACAGCCACCAAGTAAAACCATGACCTAAATATCCCACTGTCCTCCAGACCCGCAAGAGCTGGGCAATTCATAGACATGTCTATGGACCCACAGACCGTGACACGCACAGGTCTTGCTGCTTTGGGGGATGGAAGGGATGTCAAAGTCACCACAAATGTGTTGAAAAGCTTCTGTATTTACCCAACCTCCTGATGCCTCTGTTTACCAGCCTGTAAAAGGGAGGTAATGAGAGGCATCATGGCTGTGCCCAGGATTGCAAAGCACTTCTGCAAGATGCTCAGGACTCTCCTGCCGAGGCAAAGTGAGGGATTAGGGACAGAGCAAGGTTTATTAGGGCTTCTAACTCAGCTACAGCAACACCTTGTGTTTCATGTCAAGGTGTGTCAAGGTCTCGCCCTCCCATCAACCTTGTACACTCAGGGGACATTTGCACACCAATGTCCCCAGCGAAGAAGGATATAATTGTCTCACATCATTTTCTGTGTCATGAAGCTTTTCCACTGAGTTTTATGAGACTGAGGGGTTCCTGCCCCCACGCCTGACCGATGCCCCAGGCAGTCTGGGACATGTATAAAAGAGCTGAAAGCCTCACAGCCTCTATCCAGATTCCTGCTCTTGACTCTCCTGATCAAACGGGTAAGTGCAGCTCCTGGGAGCCTCTTGCAGATCTCTCCCTGCCTCCCTTGACAGAGTTTCTTGCCCTCACCCTTGCCTAATCCCTGGTGCATTTTCCAGGACTCCTTGCCTGCCTGAAAGATGTCCTGCTCCAGCCTGTGTGCCCCTTCCTGTGGGGTGGCCGCCCCATGCCCAGTGGCTGACACCACCAACGAGCCCTGCGTGCGTCAGTGCCAGAGCTCCTCAGTGGTGATCCAGCCCCCAGCCACGGTGGTCACCTTCCCCGGACCCATCCTCAGCTCCTTCCCACAGCACAGCGCTGTGGGCTCAGCGGGAGTCCCTGCCATTGCTGGGGGCTATGGCGGCAGTTATGGAGGCTATGGTGGTTATGGAGGCTATGGGGGCTATGGTGGCTATGGAGGCTATGGTGGCTATGGAGGCTATGGTGGCTATGGTGGCTATGGAGGCTATGGTAGCTGTGGAGGCTATGGAGGCTTTGGTGGCTATGGAGGCTTTGGAGGCTGCGGATATGGCGGCTGGCGCCGGGGCCGCTCATACCTCAGTGGCAGCTGTGGACCCTGCTAACCACACACTGGGTACGGCCACAGACATGGGAGAGCTCCAGAAGATACCCTGCCACATCCCGACATGACGCTCTGTGGAGGAACATTCCTTCGGTACTGCTGGGATCCAGAGCTCAGAAGTCTCTGGCCTGCTTGAAGCCCAAGTCTGCCTTCCTCCTGCCCTGCTTGAGCTTCATTTCAGGACGTACTGTCCCCTGACAAAGCAGTCACATGCTGCACGCCTGCTTCCGTGGCTCAGCTATAGATTACTCCATGTGCCCACAGCCAGGGGACCTGGGTTGCTTTTCATCAGGGCTTTGTTGTTCTCCCAACTCCCTCCTCCTTCCAAAATGCGATAAAAGTTGTATTGCATCTCAATGTCAACCCTTGGCTTTACTTTTTCCTTCCTCAATAGATAATACACCAATTTATATCCTTGGTTCTAGGCCATCCTGGCCAGTTCGTTCCAAGGGCCTTGCCGGGGACAATGCACGACCTTTGTCACATCTGTCATGGTTTAAAACCAGTCAGAGGGCTCATTCACTCACTCCCCCCCTTCTTGCCCTCCCCCTACTCCCGAAGGGATGGAGAGGGGAATCAAAAAGAATGTAACTCCCACGGGTTGAGATAAGAACAGCCCAGTAACTAAGGTATAACACAGATCACTACTGCTACCACCGATATTAATAATGATAAAGGAAATAACAAGGGAAGAGAATACATCACCACCTCATCACCAGCCGACCGATAACTCGCCCCCCCAGCCCGACCAAGCACAGACCGATACCTCCTCCAACCCTGCAGTCCCCCAGCCCTTCCTGGTAACTCCCAGTTACCCCCCCCAGGCATGACGTGCTGTGGTATGGAATAGCTCTTTGGTCAGTTTGGGTCAGGTGTCCTGTCTCTGCTTCCTCCCGACTTCCCCTCCTCCCTGGCAGAGCATGAGGCTCACAAAGTCCTTGGCCAAACCAAAACATCCTTGTTATCAGCTCTGTTCCCAGGCCAAAAGTCAAAACACAGCACTGCACCAGCTACCAAGAAGGAGAAAAATGACTGCTGCTGCTGAACCCAGGACAACATCCTTCAGCCTGTCCGGGGCAGCATGTGCATCCAGCACACCACTGTCAGCAGTGGGTGGACATGTTTGTATTCTTCAACAGCTTCTCCTTCTCTCTGTCTTCTCTATGCCTTGGGCTCCTGCACTGTGCAGCCCAGGAAGAACTGCAGCGGAGTTTGCTGCCCAGTGTGGCCGTTCCAATCGGCTGCCTGAGGCTCCAGCTCTCCTGGGACTGGTATCCAAATGGAGCCATCTCAATGGCAAAAGCACAGCTCAGAGCCACTTGGGAGAACACTGGTCAAAAGGGGAGAGGGTCTCAAGTGCCAGCACCTGCCCATATGCCTTGCCTCCATGGCCTCCACATTCCTGCACTCGTTTTTTCTTCATCTCCAAATACTCCCTGAATCACTTTTAGTCCCATCTGCCCCAGCTCCTGCAGCAGAAGCCCTTCCCAGCCAGTCCCTGTGTCACCCACCTTCATTCTGCAGACCCTGCTCTGCCCAGGAAGAGCAGGAGAGCTTCCTACAGCCCTCTGCTTTGGAACAGATTTGCTGGCCTTTTTCTGCCTTTCCTCACACACCAGCTCACAAATGCCAAATGCCTCCAAAAGCACCCAGATATGGCAGCAGAGATGAGATCACCCAAACCCCCTTCCACCACGGTGCCCTCAGCAGACACACAGGGGACACCACAGGAGCTAACACGTAGAAGGCAGCTGAGAGAAAGTGAAGAGAACTTGGGTAGATATGGGACAGTTGAACCCTCTTTTCCAGGCCTCTTCAGCAGTGCCCAACATGCTGCCACATTGCCCTTCCTGATGGCCTTGGCTGGAACCGTCTGTGTGCAAGACCGAAGTGAAGAGCAGGGATCACACAATGTGAAGTTACCTGGGGAAGGGAGGGATCTCAGCAGTGCTGGCATTTCAACCTCCCTCTCAAAGAGCTTTATGCTTCATGTGACTTGGGTACCCGGGGACAAATCCTGGCTCAGAGAGGAGACTTGGGAAGACTTGGCTGTGCCTATCACACACTCTCTAAGTAGTACCTACCTCTGGCTGGGCACAGGGACATGATCAGCATGGGACAGCAGCCTTGTACATGCCTGGTTTTTCCCTCCGTTTCCCTGGACCCCCCCAATATGACCAATATGAAGCCAACAAAAGGATGCAATGGCAGCATGCCAGGTTTGCAGAGGATTTGGAAGAGCTGCCACAGGACCCTTGAGGCACTTTCACATCTTTCAGATGGGCTTTGGGTATGTATTGTGTTTATTGCTGGAGGGAGACAAGAGGAAGCTCCCTGGGAAATGCTCTGTACAATCCATCTTGGATGATAATCATAGAATCATAGAATGGTTTAAGTTGGAAAGGACCTTAAGATTATCAAGTTCCAACCATTGCCACAGGCAGGGACACTTTCCACTAGACCATATTGCCCAGGGCCCTGTGTAACCTGGCCTTGAACACTGCCAGGGATGGGGCATCCACAGCTTCTCTGGGCACCCTGTGCCAGTGCCTCAGCACCCTTACAGGGGAGAACATTTTTCTTATATCTAATCTGAATTCCCACTACTTAAGTTTTAACCCATTAACCCTTTCCCTATTGCTACAGCCCTTTATGAAGAGTCCCTCTCCAGTACCCTTGTAGGCTCCCTTCTGATATTGGAAGGCTGCCTTGAGAGCTCCACACAACAGAACACCATCAATAGTAACAAACTCCCAGAGAACTACCATTGGATTTTCAAGGAGCACAGACCAACAAACCCAGAATTTTGTGGCAAGTGGGAAAGAAGAAGAAAGGATCAGGAAAAACCAAGGGTCAACATTGCAATGCAACAAAGGTTTTATTGCAGATTGAGGTGGGGAAGGAGTTGGGAGAAAAGCAGGGCCCAGACCAAGGGCATCCAATGTCTCCTGACAGTGGGCAGAGCTGCAAAGAGTATCAGTCCTGCTGCAGCAGCAGGCACCCTGTGAGGGTCTCTGTCATCAGGAGGCAACAAGTCTTGAAGGAATGATCAAGTAGGGCAGGAGGACAGCAAAATTTGGCTCCAATAGGCAGGAGGTATCCAGCCTCTGGATCCCAGCAGTGCTGAAGGGATGTTCTTCCTTTGGGCATCATCATGTTGGGATGTGCCAGAGGCTTTCCTGGAGATCTCTGCTGCCTGAGGATGGACCAGGGTGAGGCTTAGCAGCTCCCACACCAACCACCGAAGGACCTGAGGCCTCGGCCCCAGCCACCATATCCGCAGCCCCCAAAGCCTCCGTAGCCACCAAAGCCTCCATAGCCACCAAAGCCTCCATAGCCTCCACAGCTACCATAGCCTCCATAGCCACCATAGCCACCAAGGCCTCCATAGCCCCCGTAGCCACCATAGCCTCCAAATCCACCATAGCCTCCATAACTGCCGCCGTAGCCCCCAGCAATGGCAGGGACTCCCGCTGAGCCCACAACGCTGTGCTGAGGGAAGGAGCTGAGGATGGGTCCAGGGAAGGTGACCACTGAAGCCGGGGGCTGGATCACCACTGTGGAGCTCTGGCACTGACGCACGCAGGGCTCGTTGGTGGTGTCAGCCACTGGGCATGGGGCGGCCACCCCACAGGAAGGGGCACACAGGCTGGAGCAGGACATTCTTCTCTTCAGGAGGTCAAGCTGCAGGAGAAGACAGAGTTATGGTGCAGTACATGGCCTGATGACAAATCCCTCCTCACTCTCTTCCACTTGAAACCTCTGCTCCAGGACATGCCCTGGATCATCCCAGGCAGTCAGAGAAGAAACGTGAGCCGCAGTTGACATGCTGCTGTAAAACTCTTGCTTTCCTCTATGCTCCCTGGGCCTGACTTGCCCATAGGAGAGAGGAAAACTTTTCCTGACCAAAGCATGTAGGAAACTGCCAAGCTTGCAAGACACTAGATTGCATTGGTGTACACAGAGCATCATACCTATAAGTTCCAATATTCACCCTTTCCCTATCTCTTAAAGGGCACCATCACATCTAACTTTTAGCTATGAAAGTGTGGTGGAAAAGACATCAAAAGAGACATTGGGAAAGAAACAGCTGAGGAAGGAAAGAAGGGTATAGGATTTTAACTTACCTGTTTGATCAGGAAAGTCAAGCGGAGGAATCTGGATACAGAGCTGTGAAGCCCTCAGCTCTTTTATACATGTCCCACACTGCCTGGGGCATCAGCCAAAGTGTGGTGACAGAAATCCCAGATCATCATGTAGTACAGTGGACAAGCTTCATGACACAGATAGTGATGTGATACAATTGTTTGCCTCCCAGATGTGGAAGCAGACATGTAAATTTGCTCGGGAGAAGAAAGAGATGATGGCAGGGTTGAATATGACACATCACAACATCAAAGACATGGCGCTTCTGTAACTTAACTCCCTCTTCCAATAAACCCTCATCTGCCCTTAATCCCTCACTTCACATGCCAGAAACTATCTTTGGCAACTTGTAGAACATTCCAGTGCCCAGCCACACCAAGCTCAGCAGCCATCCAGCCAGACTCCCAGAACCAGCAGTGCCCACCATGCCTCTGACTCCAGCCAATGTGGCCATATCAAACCCTGGAGAAGACCGTGCTCACGGACATGAGGCTGAACCAAATGACAGTGACCTGGCCCCGCTGCTGCACTTCTGCTCCTCCATATATGTGTGTGTGCGTGTGTTTTCCCATCAGAGGTCTCCTGTGCTCTATCCCACTGCCTGCACATCGCATCTCTTCCAGCCCCCTGTGTGTTTCCAGTTCTGCCATGCATGGACACATCTCCTCTACCCTTTGCACGGTCACCAAGTAAAACCATGACCTAAATATCCCACTGTCCTCCAGACCCGCAAGAGCTGGGCAATTCATAGACATGTCTACGGACCCACAGACCGTGACACGCACAGGTCTTGCTGCTTTGGGGGATGGAAGGGATGTCAAAGTCACCACAAATGTGTTGAAAAGCTTCTGTATTTACCCAACCTCCTGATGCCTCTGTTTACCAGCCTGTAAAAGGGAGGTAATGAGAGGCATCATGGCTGTGCCCAGGATTGCAAAGCACTTCTGCAAGATGCTCAGGACTCTCCTGCCGAGACAAAGTGAGGGATTAGGGACAGAGCAAGGTTTATTAGGGCTTCTAACTCAGCTACAGCAACACCTTGTGTTTCATGTCAAGGTGTGTCAAGGTCTCGCCCTCCCATCAACCTTGTACACTCAGGGGACATTTGCACACCAATGTCCCCAGCGAAGAAGGATATAATTGTCTCACATCATTTTCTGTGTCATGAAGCTTTTCCACTGAGTTTTATGAGACTGAGGGGTTCCTGCCCCCACACCTGACCGATGCCCCAGGCAGTCTGGGACATGTATAAAAGAGCTGAAAGCCTCACAGCCTCTATCCAGATTCCTGCTCTTGACTCTCCTGATCAAACGGGTAAGTGCGGCTCCTGGGAGCCTCTTGCAGATCTCTCCCTGCCTCCCTTGACAGAGTTTCTTGCCCTCACCCTTGCCTAATCCCTGGTGCATTTTCCAGGACTCCGTACCTGCCTGAAAGATGTCCTGCTCCAGCCTGTGTGCCCCTTCCTGTGGGGTGGCCGCCCCATGCCCAGTGGCTGACACCACCAACGAGCCCTGCGTGCGTCAGTGCCAGAGCTCCACAGTGGTGATCCAGCCCCCAGCCACGGTGGTCACCTTCCCCGGACCCATCCTCAGCTCCTTCCCTCAGCACAGCGCTGTGGGCTCAGCGGGAGTCCCTGCCATTGCTGGGGGCTACGGCGGCAGTTATGGAGGCTATGGTGGTTATGGAGGCTACGGGGGCTATGGAGGCTATGGTGGCTATGGAGGCTATGGTGGCTATGGAGGCTATGGTAGCTGTGGAGGCTATGGAGGCTTTGGTGGCTATGGAGGCTTTGGAGGCTGCGGATATGGTGGCTGGCGCCGGGGCCGCTCATACCTCAGTGGCAGCTGTGGGCCCTGCTAACCACACACTGGGTACGGCCACAGACATGGGAGAGCTCCAGAAGGTACCCTGGCACATCCCGACATGACGCTCTGTGGAGGAACATTCCTTCGGTACTGCTGGGATCCAGAGCTTGGAAGTCTCTGGCCTGCTTGAAGCCCAGCTCTGCCTTCCTCCTGCCCTGCTTGAGCTTCACTTCAGGACTCGCTGTCCCTTGACAACGCAGCCCCATGCTGCACGCCTGCTCCTGTCGCACAGCTGATGTTCATTCTCTGTGTGTCCACAGCCAGGAGACTGAGGAAGCCCTTTGCCAGGGCCCTGCTCTGCTCCCCGCTCCTTCCCCCTTTAAACTGCAATAAAAGCTGGGTTGCATCGCAGTGTCCGCCCTTGGTTTCATTTCTTCTTTTCCCCACAGACGTTACCCCCAGTAGTTTCCTTTGCTCCCTGGGCCACCTTGCAAAGTCCCACCTGGGCCTTGCCAGGGTCATCTGCGGGACCTGCCTTACCAACCCCAAGCACCTCCTCATATGTCTTCCCTCCACTGCCTCCATGTTCCTGCATCCCTGCACTAAGTTCTCCCGTATCACATGGACGGTGGCTATGGAAAAGTGCAGGGAAACCTGGGTAGATATGGGACAGCTGACCCCTTTTATCCTGGTCTCTCCAGCAATGACCAGCATGCTGCCACATTGCCCTTGCTGATGGCTTTGACTGGAACTGTCTGTGTGCAAGACCAGTGTGCAAGTGCTGGGATCACACGATGGGAAGTTACCTGGGGAAGGGAGGGACCTCTGATTGACTGCCTTGTTGCAGCACACAACAAACAGGCCCATTGTAAAGGATAGCTTTTGAAGGAAAAAAAACATGAGTGAATTTATTTATTGCTTTGTGGTTCCTCTTTCAAAGAGAAACATACAATGTCATCACTTTTTACCACCCTAGATAGTCTGGGGATTTCAATGAACTCAGATGTTCATAGCTATATTTATAGTTTGTTACTAATCTATTTAAACATTTGTCAGGTGTTTCTTTATGGGATAATAGTCACTCCAAACGTACAAGTTGAGACATTTCAATATATGCTTTACTCAGAGATTTTATAGCCTTCAGATGTTTCATTCAAATGTAGCCCTGTACAAACAACTCTAGTAAATCCTCCAATTAGTTACTCTGCCTTCTAATCCCAGAAATTTGGATTTCTTTCTGGTCTTATCTGAAGATGATATCCTGGAGTGAAAGAAGTGTGTATCTGTGCGGCATTCCATGGATTTCTAACTCTTTCTTCTAACTAGGTCCCTTGTTAAAGCAGCCGAGTCCATAAGTAGTCTGTAGTACTACTGAGATACTAGGGATTATTTTAAGCTGATATTGTCTCTTACTTGTGCATTCTGAGAGATATAATACTTTCCAATTTTTACCTATTCATAGCTTTCCATATTTCTTATTTTAGACTTAGCTCATAAAAAATTGAGATTATGACCACTTCCAGCTGAATTCCACCTTAATGCCAAGATACAGGCTGACCAGCAACTTGCACTGTGCTTCTGCAGGGAAGGTGTCAGGCATCAAAGTGGGTGAGCACTTCCCTATGAGCACAGCTCCTCGGAAGGAATGAGAAAGCTCCATCCCAAAAAGCGCTGGTGGTGTAACCCAGTGCTTTACTTGCAAAGGTTTTCAATGAATTTTGTATTATAGCACAATTGAGCTCTGTTCCCCGCGTGAGACTGACCTCAAAGGGCAGCTGTGTGTGTTCAAAGGACAGTAATTACATTCACAATAAGGGTTCTAGGGTTTAATAGAGATTCCAAAGCACTTCACCGGCTGTTTCATGCCTAGACTGCATTACAGCATCCTACTAATAAGAGGTTACTCCTGCTGCCAGTTAGGTCCTTCAGTCATGAATAATAGAGTCGCTGCAGACTTGGGCAATGGATCTCACCCTAATAACAACTGTGTGATTGTGCAGCCTGGGAACTTCATGCCATTTCATTGTCATTCAAATGGAGCCTTGCAGTAACACTTACAAACACTTAAGCAGGTGAATGGAAAGAGTGCAGTTTTCTGCTCTATAACAGAGCCAGGTCTCTAAGCCCAGAAGCCATTCCAGACACTGCCAGCACAAAAGCTCTTGAAAAACAGTGATTCTCTCCCAACTTCTTGGCTTATTCCTCAGTTAAATTGGGTTTTCCTGCAGCCATTCAAAAGTACATCTGCAAATCACTAAGATGTGGTGCTGTTATATCCAATGTGTGTACACACACTGTCATCCTGAAGTTAATATTTCCAAATCCTTCCTAGGAATTTCCAGAATGGGTGGCTTCATTTTCTGAGATTTTACTGAGTTTTTAGTTTTCAAAATCTGTGCTAAGGTTCAGCTGACATCCATAAGAGCTACAGTGTGCAGTACGTCATCGTAAAATGTATCAAGCAGGGGACAAAAATCTGTGCACATCCAAATGAGAATAACAAAAGCTGGGACATGTGATGATGCTATAACTTTTAATAAGAATAAAGCTAACAGTCACAATCTAAAATAATACAAGAAGCAGAAGCAGAAAGAATGCATACAGAGTTTTTATCTGCAGAAAATCTGGTTTCATTGGTACTGTTTTTGCTGCTATAGCTGTAGCATTGGACTATCGATTTCCATTTTCAACCTTTTGCACTTGCTTTCAGTCTAGTGAAACAAATCAGATCAGATGATTTACTGTTTCTTTGGTACAGCTTCAAAAGCAGTTAAGTCAAAAACATATCCATAGGAAGGCTAGTGCAAGTACACTCTAGATTTCATTAATGTTAGCTGGCAAAGCGACAAAAGTCAGTTAAGAAGCTGTTCATGTTAAGCCCGGCTTCCTTTACACCACCAAACTCATGGAGGGTTAAGAAGTCTGTAGGAAAGAAGGAAGACATTTTAGAAGCACACTGAAGAAGTTTTACAGAAACACTGATCGCTCCAAAATACTACAGCTTTCAGTTATAGTCCTGGACTCAGAGCTTCTGCAAACCCTCCCCTTTAAGAGCAGCCATGAATCCATTATATCCTTCTTGATTTAGCAGGGGTAGCAGCTCCCATAGCTGTATCTACGGATGTAGCGAGAAGAGTAGGGGTAGCAGTAGCGAGAGCTGTAGGAAGGGTAGCAGTCACGGTAACCGCACAGACTCCCATAGCTCCGGTAGCCACAGGGGCTCCCACAGTCGTAGGTCCGGTAGCTGCAGGGGCTTCCACAGTCGTAGGTCCGGTAGCTGCAGGGGCTTCCGCAGTCGTAGGTCCTGTAGGTGTACACAGACCCGTAGTTGCAGGGTGAGTAGCAGGAATCCTCACACTGGGTCTGGTAGCAGAAAGTCATCTTGATGTGATGGAGGGAGGCAAGCCTAAAACACCACAGGGAAGGAAAAGCCTGTAAGACAATGTTCCCAACAGCAAGCAAAACCCAAATAAATGCCGCAAGCATGCAGGGAAGAAAGAGCCAGCAAACCCAGCCATAGTGCCTGACACTATTGTTCTATCCTCATTTTTAGTGCCGGGTCTTCCCATAATCCTCTGTCCTGACCAGTCTTTCTGAGCTTTGCTGCACAACCCCACTGGCTGCACGCCTGGATCACAATGGGAGATGTGATTGTGAACCGCGATGCCTGTGTCAAAAGGAAGCTGTCAGGAAATAAGCTGGAAAATCCTTCATAGCTATAGTGAGATGAAGACTTAAAGGGAAAAGAGGGATATGTGCAGAACTGTCACAGTTTCAAACTCTGAAATACCAAAGAAAATCCAGGCAGGAAAGAATATCTTACATATAAATAATTCTCATCAAATCACAACCCTAATTCCCAGTGAATTAATCTACAACACTCGTAGATTAGTAACTGGAAGGGAGGGAAGAGAGGGAAAATTGTATCGTTACTCGCTAGGATTCCTAAATCTATGCCAACTTACCCAATCTGCAGTGAGAATAAGGCAGGAGAAGTGAATGCATTATCCTCAGTGGTTTGGGGTTTTTATAGAGCTCCTAGTCCCGCCTCATGCATGAAAGGGTCCAATTACCAAGCACATTTTGCTTCCGCCATGACTCCTCATTGATATACCGGTTCTCCCCAGGGTTTCTGATTATTGGTCCAGCACTGTGACATACAGGTTACACCCTCCAGGTTTCTTTCATCTCAAAACTACCAGGGCAATTAAGCCTTGGTATCATCATGCTGAATTCACTTCTTCAGTCCAGCAACATATGCAAAGATGTATAAATTGCTAAACATCATTTTCAGCAGGCTGGCCTCACTGTGCATGTTGGTCCATGTGCTTTTTGGTACAGGTTTTTTTCCTGAAATGCTTGTGGAAGGGGGAGCCTCTCATTTTCATGTATTTCATAACTTTAATGATGCATGAAACAGCACGTTCCTACCAATCCCTTCCAACATTTCCTGTGACTAGCAAAGTGGGTAAGACCTTTGCATTGATGCTGTCATGGAATATGATATTGCTGTGCTCACTGATTCAGCTAGAAAATTGGTGTAGAAGCATTAAAAAGGCATGTATATGACGTATTTTCCGAGAAAACACCTTTCCAAGACTCGATTCTCCAGCTATAAATTACATCCTTAATAAAGCCTAGAAACAGAATAACGTGATACACGTTTTTAGAAACTGTGTTACATAATGCTGGGGCGTTTTCCACTAACGTAGTATTAATATTTAAATAATAAATCTCTTTGTACATGTGAATCTTTAATAAGTATTAATGAAGGCTTTGATATTCAAAATTTTGAGAAAGGCCCTGAACGTCTGACATGTCTGTTATTATCCTTCCCTTAGATGCAAGTAAACAGCAGTGTTTTGAGGTGAAGGTCACCAGGGAAGACCGGGATGTTGCTGCTTTACCAGGTCACATCCACAGGGCTCAGCATTATTCACCGTCATTAGCAGCATTAAGTTAAACACCTCAACAACATCAAGAAAATGTCATGTTAAACTATATTTAGCAGTTGGGGGACTCCTTAGGAAAACTTCTGTTATTACACATATATGTTCCTGTTTGGCTTATCTTGTTCTTTTGTAATGAATCCCTGAGTGAATCATTTCTGATCTAAGCATAAACAATCTCTAAGGAGATATTTTTGGATCCATAAAATTTGCCTAGATTGCGTTGACTCTCCAGGAGCCTGAATTTGTCAGTTTATTTTATATATTATGCAATTTAAAATTTCAAATATCCTTTAGATTGATTATTTATTGCTACCTGCTTCAGGGTTCTCCTAAAGTCTTGTCAGTGACTCTAATTTACTCAGATCTATTTCCACCATTCTTACACCAAAAAGGACCCCAGTTTCCTTCTATGCAGACAAAGGAGCTGGCTGTTGAAGTCTGGTAAAAGTAATTGATAGAGCATTTCTAGCAGGCAAATCTACATGAATTTCCTGTGAAGGTCACAATAAACAGTTAACATATCCATGCATATTTGATCGCAGCAAGGTACAGACCAGATGCGCCCTCTAATCCAACCACCTTTCTTGTACTTCTGTTATTGGGTTGGATATAACACAAATGATATTATAAATACAAATACTGCTAATATTCTGACCTAAAAATGCAATTTTGAAATTAAAAAAAAAAAGAAAAAAAAAAGAACAACCAAACAAGAAATGCTTTCTAGGGATTATTATTTCTGAGGAATAAAATAACTCTGAAATTCCTCCTTCCTCAAACCAATCCAGAGTCATTGCAGGCTTCATACACTGAAATTCATCCATTCCTCTAAAATTGGGATTATGAACATCAATCAATTCTGCTCTCAATATCCTTCCTTCCCTTTCCTGTTATAACTCAGATTTCACCACACTAATTCTACAAATATAATTCACCCAGGAAGTCCGAACATGAAAGAAAACTGCAATGCAATGTCATACTTTTGGAAGCCAAGAACTGACTAATGATCACAAACCAAGAAAACAATTACATCAACTGAAGGAATGACGTGCATAAGTAAATTTGTTTTGTGATGAATAGGAGTTTAAAGCACAGTAGGCTTGGTCAGATAAATATATAAAAGGGAGAGAAATTCAACACTCTCTACTCACATCTTCGGACTTACGTTCTCACTGAACTTGGTAAGTCGGGCTTACTACAATGTCTTTATTTCTGTGTAGATGCTGTGTTTTTACTATATGGTTATACAGACAGCAGTTATACTTTAAAAGCAAAGGCTTTTTCCAGAAAAGGCTGTGATTTCACAGCAAGCACAACTCATTTTGTTTAAAATGGGATATATGCCCACATAAGCTTAGAAGATTGTGTCATCTAGCAATGCACTGTGAGAAATTGTCTTTATTTATGATATAGTGAAGCCTTTGAGGCTTCTTTATTATGAAGCAGAAAATGTATTACAAATTTTTTCATTATTTTGAACAAAACGTAAGTATATTCAACTGGCAATTAAAGCCTGGACACGGGTTCAAACAAACAAGCTGCTTTTTTCAGCAGAGCTTTGCACAAGAAGAGTTCTTCTGTGGTGTCTTGTCTCAATGGCAAGAACTGACAGAATTCATTCCTGATCTAGTGTCTGTTCACTGATGGTTTTTAGAGAAGCATCAGACACCGATACAATCTAATCCTAACAAGATCCTATCTCATATACCACTTGAAAACAGACTGCCAAATCTAAGCAATGGTAACAAGCAGGATAAAATATTTTTATGGCGAAAACAAGGGGGAAAACCAGAAAGGAGTGAGCTGGGCAAGGAGTCAGGGTATAGCTTTGAATGGAGGTGTTGGACTGGTTCCCATGTTTGCACTTCTTTCCTCCCTCTTTCTTATACTTACATAGGTTTTTCTAGAAGCAGCTAGCATCCTCTTGATCTCTGGGTCAGACCTTATCTTCTTCTCTTCTGCTGTGTTTCAGACTTGCCTCCCCGTCCATCAGACCAAGATGACTTTCTGCTACCAGACCCAGTGTGAGGATTCCTGCTACTCACCCTGCAACTACGGGTCTGTGTACACCTACAGGACCTATGGCTGTGGAAGCCCGTGCAGCTACCGGACCTACGACTGTGGGAGCCCCTGTGGCTACCAGAGCTATGGGAGTCTGTGCGGTTACCGTGACTGCTACCCCTCCTACAGCTCTCGCTACTGCTACCCCTACTCTTCTCGCTACATCCGTAGATACAACTATGGGAGCTGCTACCCCTGCTAAACCCAGCCGTAGAACAATCAGATAGGAAATGAAAGGCAAAATAGTAACGTATGAATTGTACCTTTGCTAAGCTTCTGTGACAGCGACTGCAGTCAGGAATGGTCCTGAGTGCTTAGCACCTCTCTTCAATGTCTGCAGCTACTTTGAGTAACTTGCTATTAGGGTGAACTCTTCCTTCATAACCTTTGGATGTACTGTGTAGTTTGATGTGTAGCTTTACAACAGAAGATGCAGAGAGGAGAAGACATCTCGTCTTGCCATATAATGTGCTGACAGCTCTGCTCCTCACCAAACACCACCATAGTCCCAAAAGCATCTACTGTGCAATCTTGTGACTCTGTTTAAAGGATGTGTGAATCCCTGAATGCTTCTCTTCTCTACTACTACAAGCTGTAACTGCTTCTTACTCTCATTAAAAGATCTTGCATCACAATACTGCTTTTTGTTATATATTTTTCTTTTATATTTGACTTTACTAATTATTTACCTGAAACATGGCAAAAAAGGAGGCACAAGCTTCTCACATCTGCATTCAAGCATCCCCTAGAATCTGAGGTGACAGAGGATGTACTGAGCACTTTCATTTCTGTTTTCTCCAGGACAGTCCTAAAACCTCACATCTGCCATGTCCTAATTCTGCCCCTCTTCCACCAAACACACCAAAACACTGTTCATTTCCAAAACACTAGCTTAGAAATAAAAAGATTTAAGAAAACTAAATCAGTGCTTACTGACTACATTCCAGCCCAAATTATGTTACATTTGAGGATCCAAAATGCACTGAGACCCAAATTGCTGGACTATGTCAGCTTTCTGCAGCTCTGAAGTAGGTAACCAATATGAGAACACACATTCATCTCTTCCCAATGTGTTTCAAGGTTTCAATATTGCTATTTCTCCACCAGAGGTTACTTTGCACAGTCAGGCTGCATCCCCAGCAGGTTGAGGAAGTGGATTCCTCTCCTCTACTCCACTCTGGTGACACACACACATACATACACCTGCAGTTCTATGTCGAGCTCTGGGGCATCAGCGTAGAATCATAGAATCATAGAATAGTTTGGGTTGGAAAGGATCTTAAGATCATCTAGTTCCAGCCCTCCTGCCATGGGCAGGGACACCTCATACTAAACCATCTCACCCAAGGCTTTGTCCAACCTGGTCGTGAACACTGTCAGCATTCACAACCTAATAAGAAGGACATGGAGGTTTAAGGTCCCTTCTAACGCAAACCATTCTAGGATTATATGACTGTATGATGTCTTGTGAATGAGCTGTGAGCTTAGTCCTTCCTGTCACTGCCCTGGCTGGGCTGGCTTTCTGGCATGCATTCTGTAATCATCTGCCAGCTTTCACCATCAGCAAAAACTGTTCTACAAAGGAAGAGCAGAAGCATGCAGATTCCAGATAAGGAGAGGCTTGGAGGGGAAGCCTCTTCTTCCCCGTAATTACCAAGAGGGCATGTGATAGGTAGGAGGAAGAGTTGCTTAAAGCAAAAGTGGCTAGCAGATTGATGACAAAGGGGTGAATCTACCAGGACTGTTCCCAGGCAGGAGCCATCTGGAGCCACAAGAATACTGAGTTTTGCAAGTGATTTCCAACAGGAAATGCTCCTTCTCCTGGTCTGCAGGAGCTTCAGTTCTCCAGCTAACACTGATCTGCATGTAAGAGGCACAATTACGGACTATGATGCTGACTTTCACTGGTGGGTAGACTGCAAAGAAAGGGATTGCTGTAGGGTTTTCTTCCTCATCCCGTAAGTGCCGGTTGCCACCAACTCCCAGCAGAAGTGAGGCTCATGTGAATTTGCATTCACGTAAAAGCAGAGCATAGAAATGAAGCAGAACCTAAACACTTATTCAACAGGTTATTCAAGAGGTTGGAGAGGAGTCTGTGTAAGAGAAACCTGAAGAAAACAAACCCACAAGTCCTGGGGGAGCTGCCAGAAGCACGCATCAAACCATGCTTTGAAAATTCACCATTCTGTTCTACAGTAACTGGTACTTCTGGAAACTTATTTTGGACAAATTACCTATATTCACTGTGCTCAACTGTTACATTAATTTCCTTTTACTGGAAACATTTTCATCTAACAATCTAAAAATGCAAATCAAGGTTTCCCTCAACTGGTCATGAAGTGCAAATTCAGCATCTGAAGGTTTTTGTTGGTTTTTTTTATTATTTTTTAAAAGTAACTGTGGCTTATGCATAGATTTGTTTTAAAAGTTAAAGAAAAGTTACCAGTTGATGCATTATATCATAGACTTTTCTATTTCAGAATAACAAAGCAATTGGCAATTGTTTTTCAATTCCTTTTTAACTTACTCAAAATATTCAGGTTTAAGTTTTGTTCATAATGCAAAAAAACTGCAAATTTCTGTGAAATGCCATTCATTATTTTAAAAAAAATTAAATTAGTAGATTTATTTAAATAAATATTGTAAGTCACAACATGTTGTCAGAAGAAATGGGGAAAAGTGGATTATAACTCAGGAAATTATGGAGGTTTTCAAAACACACAAGTATAGCCTATTTGCATGTATTTAGAATTACGTGTCATTGCTATATAATTACATATATTATTTCTAGATAAGCTTATTACTGACATGATAGGAGATGAAATAACTATGCATTTGATACAATAAGAGTTAAAGAAAAAATAGAAACATAGATCTTGAAAGAAAATGCTAACATTGTTCATTAAGTTTTTCAGAAGTTCTTTTTAATATCATTTTTAAAATATTTATGGTAGTTCTGGTGTAAAATCTACCACAGTCCAGATGGAAAAATACATCAAACAAAGGCGTAACATAGGAGAAATCGTTTGACAAATGAAAAAAGCAAAAAGCAATTGAAAACTTGTAGCGATTAAGACACTTAAACCTGTAATGTTCTTGTGAATCACGGCTCTTCACTGAATGTCTTCATATGTTTCCCTCTGTGAATTTGACTCCATCTTTCTATAATTACCAAGATTTTTTATGAGTTGTATTTCCAGTTACTGATTGAACTCTGCTGCATGTCTTGAAGTCTGTTTAGGGCACTTCTCTATATTACTTTGATTTGTAGGTACAGAAGTTCAGGCACTATTGAACTGACACTTCCTAAGCTCAATTTCTGATTTTCAATATTAGGGACATCAAAATATTCCATGAATTTTGAGCACTTGGATAACTTTGGAAAACCTCATATATGTGTTTATGTATTCCAGGACAATTAATAGCCATTCCAGTGCTTCTCAGGTGTTTGTGAGGGACCTGACATCAGCCACAACGCAACAGGTTTCTTGGTCACTCCAAAATTATGATCTTCTGACCTGTGCAAATAGCAACACTAAATTTTTCTGTACACGTCACAACTTGAGTTAATATAATTAGTTTCTTCAACGTCAGGGATCATTATTTCTCATCTTGACGATGCAAAGTTATGAGCTTGTTTCATCTTAAAAACTTTTTGGGTAATTCTCACTCCTAATTATAAAATCAAGACACCAAAATAGGCAAGAGAATGACAGATCCTCAGGCTAGAGATGGCTGAGAATCAAAATTCATCTGTTTGGGGTCTTTTTAACATATTAAAAATGTATGTAACCTGGATTATGTCAGCATTTTCTAGAAGGAAAAGTTCCATACATTTACATCTATCTAATACACATTTAAAAATAAACCCTAGTGCACCCCTTCTTCCTCACAGAATGAAAAATCCCAATCCTAGATTAATAGAGGATGTAAAAGCATTTTATGCCACTTTGCCTCTTACTTGTACCTCTCAAACTGAGGTTTGTATCTAAGAAAAAAAATAGGTATTTCCTCCTCTTCCTCTAAAATACTTTTTGTTTTATACTTTTAGTATTTCCTTTCAGCTTGGTTCACTATCAAACACAGGGACTTTATAGAAGTTCAGCATTCATTTGGGTAACAATTTCAAACATATATTAATAGGAAGGAGGAAGAATTAATCACAGAGTCTATACCTTGTCATTGCATCTGCTCATACCATAATAAAACTCTTTCAGGATATCACCAAAGCAAATGTAAATTAAATTCTGTGACACTGATATTATCAGAATATTGAGAAGTTAAAATTACAAATATTCTTTTACAACAAATCTTATTGATGCTGGCTTTCAACCTCATCAAACACCAGCTTCCCAAAGGAAGCAGAGCACAAAACGTAAATTCAAGAGCCTTTTATTTTAACTCAACAAAACCTCCTTGCATGACCTTCACTGCAGTGAGCCATTCCCCATTTGCATATTAAATGAGGATAATAACAGACATTCAAGAAGTGCTGAGCCTCATCAGAATTTATGGTATCAATGTTTTTCCAAAACAGTCATTAAAACTTACTTTAGAAATGTTTGTATTATTTAAATATTAATGGATTGTTGCTGAAAAGTGCCTTGATGTTGGACAATAAACAAGGGAACCCCTAGGTTAAGCACTGTTTCTTTTTATTAAAACTAAGGCATTACAGACATCGTCCTCACTCGGTGTTGGCAGAGATTCAGCCATATCTCATCACATCACAGACTGCTTTGCATCAAAGGGGCCTTAGAGCTCATCCAGTTCCACCCCCCTGCCACAGGCAGGGACACCTCAGACTAGACAAAATTGCTTCAAGCCCTGTCCAACCTGGCCTTGAGCACTGCCAGGGATGGAGCAGCCACAGCTTCCCTGGGCATCCTGTGCCAGGGCCTCACCACCCGCACAGTAATTAACTGGATAACACCACCACAAAAAATCAAGAGTGATTTCTCCATTTCTGGCTTAGAAAAATCCATTCTGTAGTGGGCCACTTAAAGCACTTCATAAACCTTTTTATTACACTAAAGCCCATTGCAAAGCATGAGACTTCATAGGACCCTTCACTGCTAGAGAGTGTCCATCCACCCTCCCCAGCAAATGGTTCCCATCAGTCAGGAACACATGGTCTCCACCCTACTGGAAACCTTCCACAGCTTTCCTAAAAGTCTTAAAAGGCTGTTCTCCTTTTCTTTACTGCAGCCCCTGTGGTAGACCAAAAGAAAACCCAGATTTTTCTGCACCACCAGACCCTGCAGTGATACTGCCCCAGTATAATATATGCATTTATGCATCTCATATATATATACCATATAAATCTTAGAATCATAGAATGGTTTGAGTTGGAAAGGACCTTAAAGTTCATTCATTCCCAACTCCCTGCCATGGGCAGGGACACCTCCCACTAGACCAGGTTGCCCCATCGAACCTGGCCTTGAGCACTGCCAGGGATGGGGCAGCCACACCTTCTCTGGGCACCCTGTGTCAGCGTCTCAGCACCCTCACAGGGAAGAACTTATTCCTTATATCTAACCCGAATTCCCCCTATTTAAGCTTTAATCCATTAACCCTTACCCTATTGCTACAGCCCCTGATGAAGAGTGCACCTCCAGTACCCTTGTAAGTCTCCTTCAGATATTGGAAGTCTACTCTGAGGTCTATAATAAATATATGTTATTTATATACATAAATACATAATATATATAAAATAATATATAATAAACATCATGTGCTCGTGATATTACAAGATACTGATTCAAAAAAAATCTTCCAATGATTTCATCCAGAAAAGAGAAAGACAAAAGACAAAATAAATCAGACAGCAAGTCTCAGGCACATTGCTCAGATGTTCACGTAATTGATCCTGTGCCTTGGCCTAGACTTCTCATAGTGTGCATGACAAATTATAGACAATAGCAGAACCTAAAGGAATCAATGGAACGCCTGTTATTAATTGTGACGGAAATGAATCAAAATGGTTGGGAAAAGCCCTAAGCACATAGTGTAATGCCTCTTTCCTGGCCAGGTATTTTACACAACCTCACAATGTGCGGTATCCACGTCTTTTGTAGGGGCATAACAAAGAAACAGTCTACTGACTCCCCAGCCAGACAGGCAGTGTGGCTGGAAGTGTTCCATGTATTCCAGTTCCATGTATTCCAGCTTCATGCCCAATTGTCCTTTGGGTGAATTCCTAGAAATCCATTTCTCCTGGAAAGTTTTAAGATGAAAGAACTTCCCAAGGCGTAATCACAATGTGCTACCAGAGGAATTTGAAAATTGACCTAAATGTGGAGGAAAACAATTATAGTAATTGCACTGGTGATGTACTTCCGAAATGTGTTTTGTGACTAACAGGTAGTGGAAGCACACAAGGAATTGCACTGACTTCCACAGGTCCGAGAAACTATATAAAAGTGCTCACATCCCCACGCTCTTCCCAGCGCTCCTCCTGGTTTACTCTCCTCAGTGAACTTGGTAAGTTCAGATCCTATTCTCACAGAGATTCCTTTAACTTGGGAATGACTCCTTTACTAACATTCTCTCATATGTAACAGTGGTGGAAGTATTTTATCCTGTATGGTTTTAATCTGTGCAGTAAAAAAAGCTGGGGACATTGATGAATGAATTTTCAGATACCATTGGTAAGATGTGAAACCTGGTAAGAAGTTGTGTCTTCACATAAGAGAAAGCAGCAGCTCTATTGCTTTAGCTTTTTAAACTGAAATTTGGTTCATGGGCAGAATTGTGTATTATGCAAAGCGGAAATGGCTTTTGGATGAAAAGATGTTGCAATAATGAATATGAGTAAGTCACAAGAATTGCTTTAGTCTCTCTGAAGTCACTGGAGCAGCTGTAATCTGTGGCAATAGAGGACTTAAACATTAAATCTTTACTGCCCAGCAGAGTTTTTTCAGTATCCTTGCTGGAGCTGGCACTAACAAAGCCAAGGTTGCACAGGAAAATGAATATTTTACATAACAAGATTAAAACCAGACAAGGAGGCTGTCTTTAATGAACTTGTCATGATTGACCTCAGCAGCCTGTGCTGGGAGCCTGGACACCAAAGCACATAGATTTGGATGTACATCTGCAAGCTGAATTTCCTGCATCCAAAGTCCAAAAAGAGGGTATTATACTTACTTTTAAGAGGAGAAACTAAAGAAACTGCGTCTCACAGTCAGATCTAACAAGGAGGGAGCATAGAAAGGGGGTTGGGTACTCTTGCCACCAAGCCACTACTTCTGCAGCTCCCTGCAAGCTGATCCTACCCCTTACCTCCCTATCTCTTTCAGGTTGCCTGCTCCCCTCCACCACACCAAGATGTCTTGCTGCTACGTGTACCCGTGCTACAGCATCTGCTACTCCCCATGCTACAGGACCGTGCGCTGCTCCCGGACCTACAGCTGCTGCAACCCCTGCAGCTACCGGACCCTGTGCAGCTACCGGCGCAGATACAGCTGTGGAAACTCCTGCGGCTACGGCGCATGTACCACCAGATACTATTACCCTTCCTGCTGCAACTACAGCTACAGGTGCTGCTACCCCTGCTGTTAAACCCAGTGGCAATACCCCTGAAACAAGAATCAACCCCGACCCAGCAAGCAACGAAGAATGGCTAATGTCAGAGGCAATCCTTACGGAAGCGCTGAGCCCCTGTGGCAGCAACTGAAGTTACTGAGAACAAGGAGCTTCGCTGCTCTCTAACACTTTTTGGCATTCATATTTTTGTTCTTTTTGTCTGCTTCTTCCTGTCTTTCACAACTAGGAGATCTCTCTTGATATTCTGCGTTTAAACCCTTTTTGACAGATACCCTATTTAAACTCTTCAGCAACGACAATCTGCAGCTCATTTGAAGCTTCTTACAGTTGCTGCAGTGGTGTTAAAGGACTTTGCAAAATTAGCTTTTGTGTCATCTGCATTTTCAATAACTACTTCCAGTAAGGTGCTGCAGGACTGTGTAATGGAGACGTATTACAGCTGTCTCTTCTTTGATCTGGATTTACAAGTACCTAAGGGATGAACAACACAGCTTCAACAAAAAAGAATGTTCTGGGTAGCATAGTGCAATGACTCATCTTCCATAGCTCTTTCCAGTATCCCAAAACTATAATCTTTCTGTATCTGTACCAGCTCCTTTCTTATTGCATTAAACTCTTTCTGCATAAAAAAAAAAATTGGAATTCCAGCTGTCTTCTTTCCTGTCTCTAGTTTACATGGATATACTGAGTGTGGTAGCATCCTGAAGGGACTTTGTATTCCTAATGCTGGCAAAGCATTTCATACCCTTCCACCTCCAGAGCAGTTGGTCCCAGTAAATATACCCTTTGCCTCCCTTTTACCCCTCAGAAATTAAAGAAATGCCACAATTTCTCCCTTTACTTAATTGAAAATATTACCAGATTTAAGGTTAACATACTTCAGCAAAATAGGACTGCAATAGTCTTTATAATAGTGTTTTAAAATGGAGAATTACTCACAAGCCTTTATAGAGAGTATACAAAGATGTTCAAGTGAGCAGAATATTGTGCTATTCCTGGCAATTTAAGTGTTCTTGCTCCAGAGCCACAATTTCCTATCATATTTCACACAGACACTGGGTACAACAAAATCCAGCTCTACAGTTATGAGAATTCACTGAATCTGGAGACTAAAAGCTAAAAGACAGAAAGAAAAGTGGAAAAAAAAGAGGCAACTAGTTCTTAAAAAAATAAAATCAAGTGAAACAGTATTCAATGTCTCCAGGGTGTTTTGGTAGCTGCCTCCAGCCATGGAAGCAATGAGAAAGTGCCATCACGTCATCTTCCTCCTAATGCAGCCACAGACTCTCAGTTCTGAGCCCAGAGGTTCTATAGCATTGGCCTACAATATTCAGTGGGAAAAAGGAAAAAAGTCAGTAAAAATCAGTGGTAACTTTGCTTGCTTCCAAACTGTGGGCTCCGAGTGTACTTCCCTGAACTGACAGGCAAAAAATATGCATCAGAGGTACTGGCCAAAGGATTTCCATTAATCCTATCAAACTCTATACGCTGCAAAGGGAAAATTCCTCCCCCTTTTCCATGAGGGAGTCCCTAATCTTTCAACCCTGATCTTTCCAAGTGCCTTCCAACCCGGGCTCTTTAATGATTCTATGATAATATACAAAATACAAACTTATTTCAAAATGTAAAACCTGATGAGTCCACACATTTGAAGATTGCAGCCTGCGATGGATCATGTACGAACCACATGACATTATCCCAGCAGCAACAATGAAGTAGTTTAAATGAACCACTTATTTGGAATACACCAAGCCAAAGCCTGGAGTTGTAGAAACATGTATAACCAGAGGTACAGCTGAAGGTTCTTGCAGCTACAGAAGTCCAGGTTTCCAGGCTTGAGGAGGGCAAGTCTCTACAAGCAAATCCCTGAGTATACAAAGTTAACTTTGTCACACAATCTGTTTGATGCTATTGATTTCAAGATATTTGAGGCATGCAGGTGAAAAATAAAACCAGAGATGCAGTATTGATGGATGCAACATAATTTTTAATGTGAGTGAAAGGCAGATAGATTTTCAAAGGCATACAGAACTGAAAGACCGCATTCCCGAAGGCACATTACACCCTGCTGATTCCATTCAATCAGCATTAAGGTTTTGCGTACATCACGGCAACAAACATGAAAAGCAGTTCACAAAGAACTGCAGAAACAAGCTTTTGATCAAGAGGACGGTTCGGGTGGCAAGAGAGCAAGCAGACACAGAGCATAAGATAAATTATTGCAAGCACTTCAACAGCAGTGCAGAACACTCAAAGCCTCCATGAAGGGTGGGTGGCTGCTGTCACCAGGGCTCTGCACACCAGTGACCACTGCTGCCAAGATTCACCATCAGTCCGTGCTTGCTGGGCCTGAGTTGATCTTCACTTCAGGGACGTTCCAGCTGGGTTTAGCAGCTCCCATAGCCGTACCTCAGGCCATAGCGTGAACCAAAGGGGTAGCCGTAGCGGCCGGAATAGAAGCCTGGGTAGCCATAGCAGTCTCCAAAGCCATAGTATCCCCTATAGCCACCATACAGACCTCCAGAGCCATAGTAGTCCCCAGAGCCATAAATGCCCCGGTAACCATAGAGACCACCACAGCCGTACCGGTCCCCAAAGCCATAGAGGCCCCGGTAGCCGTAGAGGCCGCCATAGCCCCGGTATCCGCAGGGACTCCCGCAGTCATAGCTGCGGTAGTTGTACAGGCTCCCATAATTGCAGGGAGAATAGCAGTCATCCTCACACTGGTTTTGGAAGAAAGTCATCTTTCTGCGATGGAGGCAAACCTGAAATACAGCAACAGGGAGAAAAGAAAAAATAAGGATTACTACAGTGGCAGGAACAGTCTCAGAGGCAAAAGACTGGCCATGTGAGACCAAGGACAGAAGCAAAATTATCACCAAATTCCTCAGATCCTTATTCGCCTTATTGCATCCCATTTCTATCATTCTGTCATTTTCCCACTGTTTTGGAACAATGGGGTTTGTGTCTTTTGTCACTGAGATTTGTGAAACACTGACTACAGCATACACCTTTACAGACCAAAAGTTCTTTGCTGCCGTTTCAGGATTTTACTGAGAGAATGCTGTTAGGAGTTAACAATCCTAAACTTCTTTCAGGATATCAGCTTTGGATAGAGCTCTACATTCCCAAATCCTTCAAGAAACTCTTCAAGAAAGCTCGAAGTGTCTAATGCTTGCCATGATAACACACTTCAGCTTTTGGTTTAATCCTGAGGTAAAGGTTGGTCTTGGTGTTCTTTTCCAACCTAGCTGATTCTGTGATTCTATGATTGCAGCAGGGTTAAAAGTAGAAGGTCCCATTTCAGTAATTTACACCAATTTTGATTGGAATCTGGAAATGCTGACAGCACATGCAAGAAACCATGGAGCGTTAGCACACGTGAACATGTGCTGTCCTGCCAAACAGACCTGAAGACCTCCTTAAAACAGAACAGAAGATTTGTGAAAGACCTCTCTGAGGGCTATGGTGAAGAAACCATTCTCTGCATCTGCAGACCTAGTAACCAGCAATCCTCATCATGGAGCCAGGTACCCAGTTACCAACAGGACCAGAAAAGATTCAGCCCCATCTTTAAAAATTGAACCCACCAATGCATAAGCACAGACACAAGGTACTGAGAAATCTTAACTTCCAGAGAAACCACAATCCTAACATAAATTATTAACCCAAAATTTCTAATTCTCATGAAGAATATGAATGGAAAGAAGGCTTACCGAGTTCACCAGGAGGAGGAAGGCAAGAGAGCTGATGAGGAGCCTAGAGCTCTGAGCCCTTTTTATACTGTCTCTTTGCCCGCCTGGCTTATCTTAGACGCCCTGTGTATTCAAAAGGTTTGTAGTCTTATTGGCTGGAAAACAAATTTGTCTGTACACGTCATATCTTCAATTAATATAATTTTCTCCATTGTTTGGGATTATTAGTGTGTTCCCAGCCTCCCATATGTCACATGTATTACAGGTTTCTTTCATCTTAAAATTTTCTGGGCCAACTACATTCCTGATACCATTTTATAGTCTTCACTGTCAAAACTGAAGTTTATTTGTAAATCATTTAAAAGCATTTCTAAGTTCTCAAAGAGAAAAAAATTTTCAGTGAAGAAATAAAACCTTCCCACATGTTTGAAAATCTCTGTTGTTCACTGGAAACTCTAATGCACCATGGCCCAGGGTGCATGTTTAAAGGAAATGAAAACATAAATGTAGGTATTTTATATTAAACTACATAGGCAACTTCAGAAAGCTGGACCAGCACGACCTGCAAATAAATCTTAATTGCGTTCCTCCAGAGTTCCTGGTGAAGAAAAGTCATGCTGCTGCATAAGCAGAAAATATGGTTTTGACAAAAAGACAACTACAGCATTGTTTGCAGTAGTTCACTGGAGGGCTTGACCGCAAGTTCAACACAACAAGGTAGAGAATACAAGTAGGAACTTGGGCTAGGGAATAATAAATGATAAGGATTTTGTGAGTTGCACTAAATTCTGTTTTCCAAAGAGCCATATGAATATTTTCTTCTCGAAGAATCAACCACGTGTATCAAATCCACTACAACAGTGAGGAACGCTGAAGTTAACTGCATAAATCCTTGTATGACCTTCACCTAATTTCTGGCATTAATTTAAATATAAAATAAGGGCAATAATGAGCAAGCAGGATGTTGAGACTTCCTCAGAATTTTGAATACCAAAGCACTTCATAAACACTCATTGATGTTCTCAATTTGCAAAGTGTTGCAGTATTTAAATATTAATAGTTTGTCACCGAAAGACACCCCAGATTTAATAATATGGTCACTCACAAGACACATTAAGGTCTCTTATGTCAAAGTCCTAATAAGGTGATGCATTTACGTTTCACGAAACTCAGAAACTATTAGAAAAATCTAAAGTAGGAATAAAAATTTTGGAAAATTCACAAGGGAATTGAAAGATTTCTTCCAAATCACTGTTGTAGAAACTGGGACAAAACCCAAACAAAGCTGTTGGCAAAAGTTCCCCACCAGTATCACTGAGCAGTACTAGAGGTCACGAGGCTGTTGAATAGAAGCTCTACTACAATGCTTTGGCACACCAAAGCCTAATCCTTCTCTCCCCCACATGTTGCACCATAGATGTAAAAGCCAAGTGACTGGAGAACCTACAAGCAGATTGCGCAAATGGATATGGTCTAAACATCTCCCCAAATTATTTCTATCCCTCCAACTACAAAGAATTTCATGCAATTTTACTAGAAATATGCTGAGCTCAATTTCTTCTTGTTTTAAGATGAAAGAAATTCTATAGGTATTACACATGTGTCATAACATCAAACTCTGAAAATATGAAAATCACAGACTCCAATTACATCAATTGAAAGAATAATGCATGCAAGAAGATATGCTGCAGAACTAACACCTAAGTTGAAGAGGGTATATATAGGGACCTACAACTCCATAATGCTATCCACTTCTCTTGAGCTACTCCCCTTGGTGAACCAGGTAGGTCAATACTCTTTCTGATGCATGTAGAGTTGTATGTATATATGTCTATATGTTAGTAGAAATAATTGTGTGTGCACATGCGTACGTATATATATAAATAAGATGCTGGTGTGTACATATATATGTGACATATATGTAACATATATATATGTACGATACCCTAAGCAATTTCTTGTCATTTTGGAGCTAATCCCAAACACAGAATTCTCTGTGACACCGAAGAATTCCTTCACTGAAACTTTTTTGCTCTTCCTGTGCTTATTTAACAGTAGGCTTTAGAATACTGAAAACTTGAAGTTTACTGCTACAGTTTTGAAGTCAGAAATAATTTCCGGTTCCAGCTTCTTTTTATCAAGTGTTGGGAATTCAAATCCCTAGATAAAAACTTTATGAAACATTTACTACTTTAAGTAGACACCCAGGAAGGAAATTCCTCCATTGCACTGTTTAAGTTTATCCCATGTCCAGTGGCACGCAGCTTTACTGGTGATGAGGGGAGCTTGTGATAAGCTGTTGTTCTTATCTGAATAAGCAACTGGCATATTTTTCTTAAATTTATTCAAATTTCCCTAACTTCTGGGGTGGAAAAGTTCAATATTCAGTTGGTAAAAAGTCTATTTTCTATGGATAGTCAGCTGTTCAAGTGTTCTTTGGGATTCAGATGAGAAGAAAAAGAAAGGCAGATGGTTAAGAGGGTGAAAAAGACCTACAAGAGGGAGCGAGTTGAATTTCATCAGCTCTGCCCAAGCTTTGAGCCCTTCCTCCTGCTGTCAGCAGCCCACAAGGTCACCTTGCTTCTGGGTGTGTGTTTCAGGTTTACCTGCATCCACGAACAATGACTTTCTTCAGGGACCTCTATGACGATGGGTGCTACTCACGATTTGGCTATGAAGACCTCTATGGCTTTGGGGGCCTGAATGGTTACCTGTATGGGAGCCCATATGGCTACTACCGCTACGGCAGCCCATATGGCTACAGAAGCTTTGGGAGCCTGTATGGGAACAGAGGCTTGATCGGTTATGGAGGTTTTGATGGGGGCTTTGGGGACCTGTACAGATTTGGGTACGGTTACCCGTTCTCTTCTCGTTTTGGAAGCAGATGCTTCTATTGAAACTGCTGTCTACGCTGAACCAACAGAAATAGCAATCAAGAAATGAAATGCAGGACACGGATTCATGGCTAAGGTTATGATGCTGAGAAATGCTGAGCACCCACACCTCTGGCTGAGTCCAATGGGAGATGCGGGTGCCAAGCTGCATAAGACTACTCTATATATAACCCTTTCTAATATTTTCCATTTCTTCAACTATTACTGTAAAGGGCAACTTAAATTACAGCAAGCACTGAGCCATCTTTACAGCATGTTGATGGAGTAAAGCAAGACTTTCAGGTGTGAGTAAAGTGCTTTTTAAGTTAATTCACAGCCACTTTGTATTGCGATAGTAATAGGAGTTTCTGCAACCACCACGGACAAGTCCACTTTGTTCAGCTGTAAACTTCACCAAAGATGACACCTAGCAGAGAAGCTATGTTACATATTCACGCTGTTCCTCATCTGGCATGATTTATAAGCAACCCTGAAAGCAAGAAACATGTCTTGACTGTCTAAACTCCACTGTTTCCACAAGGAGAAAGCATCATTCAACATCAGACACACTCTGCTTGCTGAAGACACTTCTGTAAAACTGCAAACTTACTCTTTCAGTTCCTCAGTGCTTTTCATTTTCATTAAAATTACTCTTCTTAATAGTATCAGACGTCCAGTCTTCTCCTTTTGTCTGTGCTCATATGCCACACTACAAAGACCCACAGCACTGCCACTCTAACCAACCTCATTTTAGCTAACCTGTGACCCTGGGTTTACACAAATACTTCTCCAGAAAAGGGCATCACCTAACTCTGTATTACAAAACACATACACTCCTGGAGCAAGCTGGGCTTTGTGTTTGAAAACTACCTTCTAAAGCAAGAGATTGAGTGGAAGCCTCATGGTCTGCTAAGGAAAGATAGCAAGGACACTCAAGGTTAAAGACACCTAAGAGGAAAGACCAAAGGCAACAAAGCCATGACCATCTGCTGGAGGGATCATCTCCTTTGCAAACTGAACAGCCAGGTTATTCAGGGAGTTCCTGTCAACCTCTACCATGTCACCTTAGTGTAGTCTTGATTTAGATTTATAATATGAAAGATTACAATCTGGGATGGAACAAGGTGGTTCAACAAGCATAGCCTAGACAAAACTGCATGGATCCCACGCAAGCCCAATTACACATCAAAGATATCAGCAGGAGTCAAAACTTCTGTTGCAGAAGTGGTGGTGAGGGGGCTACCTTTAGGCTGATTTTCAAGAGAGACACTGTGTGACTACCCCTTTGCTTCCCATGGTGGCCACCTACACAAGCATTTCTGCATTCCTTAGCTGACAGAGCAAAGTGGAGGTCAAGAAGCTATGAGAGCAAATCAGAGAATCCCTTTCATAGGCAGAAAACTGGAAGCAGGATAGTCTGCAAGCTGTAAATGCTATTCCTCCAGTCCAAAGTTCCTTTCTTTATATCCATGCCATTGTTTTCACTTAAACCTTTTGACCTTGAACTGGACTATAACAGATGAACCCCAAAGATCCATTTCCTTGTCTGGGAAAGAAGCAGCCACAGCCAAGAGATGGGCTTGGTCTGCTGCCTTGTTGCTTGGAGCTCACCTCTTTGAGCCCTAGTCTGAACGAGACAGAGCCAAATCAGGATGCCCCAGGAAGAAGGTGAGGGCAGCAACCTCCACCCTAGCCTCCTAAGCAGGGCACGTTGGCAGTAAATCAGTACAACCCTTTGAAACTGGCAAAGCTATTAAAACATCTTCTGTAATCCTTCTGCTAGCTGCTGTCAGCAGCAAAAAGGGCTGGGTTCCCCAGGGAAAACATTAAGAAATGGTAGAGTCTCCCAGCACAATAAATGCAGCTTATCTCCCTTGGATGCCCTCCAGCACACAAGGGTTTTCCTATCGGTACATACTGTGCAGAAGGGCTGACACAGACTTGCACAGAAGATAATAAAACATGGATTTTGGTGAAATTCTCAGTCTGCCCAGGATCCTTTGGCCACAGCTTAACATCCCGGTCCATGTTTGCCAACATAGCTGTATTTATGATGTCTCTTCCTTTCACCACATCCCACTTGTTTCATTACCAGAGGCACTGCCACTTCCGACAGCGGGTGCAATCACCACCCAGTGCCTGGGGAACATTGCCCACAGGCTGCAATTGACTCTCAAGCCCAGCCTACCCAGACCTGTCACCAGTCTCCACCACACTGCCTCAGAGCCTTCTGCCACCTCCTCTTTTCCCTTTCTGTTTTGAAGATGCCACTGCTCTAGTTGTGGCTCCATCTCCCTGCACAGTGCTGAGAGTGTCCCAATGCATCTTGCTGCTGCCTCCTGCCTAAGCAACCTCAGCCCTCCCCTCACTTCAAGGATCCAGGGCACAGGCAGGATCTCCTGCCATGCTGCAGATCAGCCTTATGCAAAGACTGGAGCCCAACCACCAACCAGGGAGGGAAACCAACTTCTCACCCCATGTGCCCCTGCCACAGGGGCCTTTAGCTACCAAACAGGATCATTTTATTACCTATTCATTCAAACAACAGGATGAGTCAAAGAGTCACAGTTTGTTGCAGAATTGGGGTCCACGCCATTCCCTGCCCCTCCCATCCATCAATCAACAGCACTGATGCCCATTTTCTATGGATCCAACCTAACATCTTCGGAAACTCTGAGTTTTTCTCATATTCCTATTCAGTGATGTGTGAAGAGCATCTTCCCTGTTTCATAGGGTTTTACGCCCTAAGGCTCAGGAAAAGGTGAATGATTAGAGGAACTCTGTGCCTGATATTATCATACGAGATGATGGATGGCTAATTTAGCTAACAGAAAACTAACTCCTGTAATTTTATTTCAACTTCTGAATGCTGGTCTGGGTAAATACAGGGTGTATTTACTGCATGCATGTGGGAAATTATTGAGTTAAATGCACCTTGTAAGCAACCCACACATGAGGCATGCTGCAGAACAGGCCTCCAGCACAAAGATTCACTGCAAGAGGGAGAATCCTTTTTAAGAATTAAACTTAGCCCAAAATGAGAAATTTGGCTCCTGATTATTGCACAAACTGGGCTGGAAGCTTTTAAGAGTGCAATATTACGCCAAACCTTTTAAGAGAAGGGGAAGTGCACCTTGGTATAGGAAAATTGGCCTTACAATGAGAGAAATAAAAAGCATTTAAAGCATTTCAAAATTCACCATATTTAGATTAATATCCTTCTCCCATAATGCCATAATGAACCTAAAAGCCATTAACAAATGCCTTTATCTTAAAAAGACATTAGTAGCTTCTTAATAAGATAATTGGTATCTTCAGTTTTCTGAAAGCCTCAAAGCATTTCACACGAGCAGCTATTATATCAAACTGAATAAAAGGTGTATTATAAATAGCTCCATAGAAATCCACCAGCAAAATTTCCTGATTTTCCTGGCACTTGCTGTTTCATGGTAACTGCAAGTCTCAACTTACTACCCAGAAAGTGCAACTGGAGAGGCCTCAATAATAACCTTGAATTCATTTCCAAATATGCCATTAACATAACAATGAAGATTCCTTTGTCTGGTTTTTGAGGTTTGGGGGATTTTGCTTTTGCAGGGAAGTATTTATGTGGCTGGTGAGAATCTGGTTTAATCACCTCTTCTAAAGCTCACCAACACTCAATTACCCATTATTACAATGCCTGGTCAACTTTGTTTTCCTTACACATAGGGATAATAATTCTCCAAAGTGTGACTACTATGAAATAATCCCACATTCTCTGGTACCTTGCGATTCTGAATTATAGTGTTTCTGTAACAAACTGTTAACACGCTACATAACATTTCAAACACATACAGCCACATGGGAAGCTTGTGGAACGTTTATTATTGATGTATTCCTGAAGAAACTGGAAATTACATGAGTAAACATCACATTCCATTTTCACATGCATAGCTTACATTGTTGTAGAACATTGAGCAGAGCAATAAAGCCAGAAATTCAACTTATACACTCAAAACCAGCTGCTTTCACCTAACATGTGGTTTCACGTTATTCTTGTTAATACCACACACCTCTGCTCTCATGCATAGTGTCACCACGTAGATGGGGAGGTTGAGCCTGAGTACACCAGGAAACATTTACTATTCCAGAAAAGCCAATACTGAGGAGGATCTGGAGCAATGAAAGCAAAGATGTGGGCAGCAATTTCATGAAGGGACAGCTACAGCATGGAGCTTGTTGTGGGAAGGAGCTGTACACACAACCCACAGCCAAATCTCTCAACAGTATCACTGTCCTGAAGCAGACTGATAGCATCAGTTTGGTGCAGCAGGACAAAGACACCTGAATCAGGAGGAGCAGAGGGTAACACACATAGACACGCACACACACGTCAAGGCCAGTAACATGTTGCAATGTCATGTTTAATGAAAGAAGCAGATCATACAGAGGTAGGATTATATAGTACAGATTACAAATTGCCTGCAACCTGTGGTTTGATGCAAGATGATTCATGTAATAACTGGTGGTGCTCCCCTATTGCAGCTCTGGGTTGATACTCAGCCATGATCAGAGCAAGACACATACAGCACAGAAACAGAGGCTAGTTGACTTCATGACTCTCTTTTATGCATCAGTTGCCACAGAAAAAAAGGGACCTAAAATGAATGTCATACCAGTTCCCTTTATGTTGCCACAAGGAATTAGCCCCCAAGGAATTAGCAATATAGTCCCACAGCATCAAGAACAGAGCACTTACTTAGAAAAACAGGAAAGCATTAGAAGAACAGCAGAAGTAATCCAAGAAGGATGTAAATGGATATTTCAGAAGATCTGAGCATCTACAGATGTATTTAATGGCAGCTCCAAATGGCTCAACCCTTCCTAAATGCTGTGCCCTGGAGCTCAGCCATGTTATCTACATCCTGTTTGACATGTCCTGGGTATTCTTGTTTCAGCAACAGCAGGTTTAGCATGGTCTACAGTTTCCAATTGGGTATCCCCGTCCCCATCTGGCACCACCATAAACAACGGAGGTCCCAGGAGTACGGGCAGCACTAAATCCACTTCCAACTTCAGGGGTTCCTGCAGATCCCACGACACTCTGCTGAGGGAAGGTGCTGAGGATGGGTCCAGGGAAGGTTACAACCACCGGCGGAGGGTAGATCACGACCCTGGAGTCAGGACACTGACGGACACAGGGCTCATTGCAGCTATCAGCAACGGGCTGTGGCACAGCCACCCCACATGGAGAAGCACTGCCATCAGTGCATGGGCTTAGAGAGTGCACCATTGCTCAGGAGTGACTAATCTGAAGAGCAAGCAAATAGTATAAAAAGAAGGCACAAGTTCTTTTAAGTTTCACAATGAAACATTACAATAAAAGACTAAAAACAATCTAGAGGGAAAGGCAGAATTTTCATAGCTCAATTCCTAAAAGATTCTTTTAAATCTTGTACTTGAACCCCATAAGACCTGGAAATGAGTTCTCATGAAAAACCAATCAGAGCTCATCATCCAGATATGCATTTACCAAAGCCAATAGCTGAACAGTCAGAAATGTATTGATTCACATCAAGAAAAGTTGAGGCTGGTACCAAAACATTTGCACAGGATTCATCTTAATTTATAACTGCAAAGAAAGGCTTTGTTAGAAAGAGGAATTTAGATGCAACTTACCTACTTCACAAGAGAAACAAGAGAAATGATTATACAAGATCTGCTGCTGTGCACTTTTATACTTGCCCTTAAACTGCCCAAAGCATGAATCACCTACGTGCATAACATTCTAATCGATTACTAAACACATTTCTTTCAGACTCAACTTTGGTAATGAATGTTAAATAAATCGCTCTTTATAATTATTAGTCTGTCCTACCCCATATGACCTGTACTTTACTGCCATCTGGTCTCTGCTCTTTCAAAACTTTATATAGAGGGGATACTGTGCCCTGCACCTTGCAGAAAGATAAAATGTTTATATGGTTTATACTTGATGAATGAACTTGTTTCTGGGCAGGTGGCAAATACCCATTTTCTTGGAAGAAAACATACTTGGTCCAGCCCAGAAAGAGTTGCAAAAGTAAGGGATAACCCATGTCCTCAGCCTAGGGGTAGACAGGTTCATGTGATGAAATGAGGCTAATGCAAAGTCCGATCAAAGCTCTGGTACCCTGCAGAAATCCTGAATTTTATAGAGCTCTATATCCAAGTAAGTCAGTGAAGCTCTTCCAATTAGACGCCAAGCATGAGTTTCCTTCAACATGCAAGCTTTGGCCACAAAAAAAAAAAAAAAAAGGAAAAAAAGCTAAGGCCATATTTATATGAAGTTAAATGTCTCATAATATGAACCTATAAATCATGACCTGATTAGAGGAATGGCAAAATGACAATAAATAGGGTGTGACTTAAGCAAGACCTTGTCAGGCAATTTTTCCAGCGGGTTGCAATGCACTTTACACATATAGAACAATGAGTGGAAGATGCAGTTTGGAATCCCAATGGCTGATGAATTGCAACTGCCAATGTGGGGTTATCACCCGTGTTATCTCACCAGAATGAAGAGGAAGACTTCTGACACTCAACTGTAGAGTCAACAGATGCCAAGAATGGCAATGGCGTGTGGCATACAGACACTCCCTCCCCACCATAAGGGGTAGAAACTTGTTCATTCTGATTTACACTTCATTTTGCTTCAAAACAAAGACATTTTTTTATTTCTGTAGTAATAGAGAGGACTTGGGCTCTTCTATTAGACTAAATCTCACAAATTGTTCTCCCTTCTTCCCAGCAGCACGTTCTTGCAAGGAAAAGCCTTCCTTTTGTAGAGTTAAAAGTGTACATGGTAACATTGCAGAACTTAAATTGCCTCCTTCCAAGGAATCTCAAGGGAAACATCTTCTATATTATCAGATTGGCAGCAAAAACATGATTTGAAGAACAGCATTACATGCTGCTGTTGAGTAGAAACCTCGAGATCTCAACAGTGGGAAATGACTGGGATTCTTTTTTACTTTAATTGCATACTGAGATTTATCTTCATAGTGTCACCATGTTTGAGGATGACACAAGATATCTGTAATTCCTTTGGAAAATTGGCTCTGCCATTTCTATAATTGAAGATAACCATGTGAATTGCAACATACGTCTTTATCTCAGCTTAGACAGGGTAGCAACTTACCCCTACAGTAATTGCTCAAAAACATTGGAATTCAACACCTAATTACTACTTTGAAGTTAGCCAGCAGAAGATAATAGTAAGTATTAAGTCTTATTTTGGAAACACATTAATAATTCTGTATTGAAAAGTCACGATCTTCAACCCAATGTGAGAAGAATCCACACTGCTGGGGTTTGTTGCCTTCTCTGCTGCAGACTGCCTGGGGTTAATGTCACTGCAAGATCCATTTATCTGAACACAAAGGTTAACAACACTGACATCAGGCATGTCAAAGCTTTCTGAAAGCATTTCAAAGCACATCATAAACGCTCATTAATGTTCTGAACAACTGATGTTGACATATGTATTTTTTTTAACAAGAGTATTACAACTGCCAGCTCACTACCAGAGAGGACAAGGAAATAAAAGTGATGAGTCAACCAGTGAACCAAAACTCAGCACCTAAAGAGTGAGTCCATAAGGAAACTAAACAGTGCACATGTCAACTCTATTTATTAAAACAAGCTCAAGAATCAAACCCCTGCACCTTAAAAACTCAAGATACTAAACACAAACCCCACCATCTTTGTATTCATCGAGAGACAGAAAGAACAGAGCCATCAACACCTTCAATCACTCAGAAGTGCTGACAGGACACATTTATTCTCTATTTAACTGATACGTTAAGATTCTTCAAGACTTTCATAGTCCTCTATCTGTAAGGATATGCTGGAAAGCTGTATAAAACCTTAAAGGACCAAGCTAGAGCTCGCCACAAAAGCAGGGAGCTCTCTGAAGACATCCATTTGATTATACTGGCCAAAACAGCAGATATCAAGACATCAATCCATCCCTGAGCTCACTGAAACACCGCAACAAATAAAGAAGTTTAAAATTGAAAATGTGTGTGGTTTAGTGTGCACACCACAGCAAGTGAGACTTAGAAATAATTACATCAATTACACGGTCTTTGGATAATAAGGGGTTTGTGCCCAAAAAGGTGTTCTTTTCATCAGGCTGACTAGGAAAGCGTATGAAAGTAGTTTGAGGCTCAGAGCTTCATCCATTTCTCTTGGATTCTCCCGCCAAACCAGGTATGTGTGATCAGCTTTATAACTACCATATTACAGCTAAACAGACTGTAACCTTGAGAGGCTCAGCACGTTTCATTTCCTAACAAAGAATACAGACATGAGAAGACACTGAAGTTTTTCCAACTTAATCCTAAAGTCACCTTAAACACAGCAAAGCCTGTGAAGAGACAGCAGCTGCAGGAGAGCTGAACTTGTGACCATGAGAGTGTGGAACAGATTTTTGCATTAAAAGATTGCATTATACTATTGTGATGCATGGTTTTTTTCCTTATGAACAAGGCTTCAGATATCCCATGAGTAATTTCCAGAGCTACTCTACTTCTGAATGACCAGCTATACAGCTTGATGCCCACCTTACCAAATATCAGGACAGGCTTGGAGGCATGTTGCAAACATCCAAAGGTCAGCCTTGATGCCTGTTCTCCATAGAAGAGCTCCAAAACTGTTGCCTTATACGTTTAACCAAATGTGTAATTTCCCACATGCCCAGCCTCAAACCATCATCATCACTACATTATTCTGCAGAGAATTACACACTTTCCCATAACTTAGCCTTCCATCAGGTGCTTTGAATTTTATAGATGTAAACAGCTACAGAAACAGGGGGCTCTCAATCTTATCAGCTGGTCCTGATACTTCTCATTGTTTTATGCAATAGCTCATTCATCAACATTAAGCCATGAGCCACAAATTCACCAGGAATGTTGAAAACCAGAGAATAAATACCCATTTTTCCATTGCAAAGAATTATTACCCAGCAGTTGAGGGTCTCATGTTTTATTATGAGCTGTGTACTGGAAAGGTGAAGAGCAATGACCTGCCACACTCAGGCAAATACACCAAAGTAAATGCAGGGATGGAAAAGCTCCTGCCTCTGAGCATTACCTCTGAATTAAACTTAACTAATTGGACAGTGCATTCTACTGGGAACAATATTCTCCCTTAAAGTAGATGCCCGCTTCTATTGCTTAACACATGATATTAAGATGAAGCATTGAGCTTTCTGCCTGTATCCATCATTTGGTCGTAAAAAAAAAGGGGTTGCAACAAGAGTCAGTATTCACGGTTATAGCTATATTCCCATTTATAATAGACACACTTGTATTATATTTACTAGTTTTGTAATATCCAGGACCTAAACCACTATTTTCAGTGAGCCTTTTTCTAAAGAGATACTCTGAGCTGGAAAAAGGGCAAGAACGTTAAACTTGGGGGTTGGAACTAGAACTTAAGGTCCTTTCCAACCCTAACCATTCTATGATTCTGTGATTCTAACTTTGTTAAACCACAGTCATCCCTCATGACGTGACCTGAATCATAGTCTATTCTCACCCCACACCTCAGCTTTGCCCTACTGATAAATTAAGATGGTCCTCACAGGTGCCATGTTTGTGCAGACCTATGTTTACCCATATATAACACAATAGCACTGACAGAGACATTAAATAGCATCTTCATAACAGGACCTTTTAAAACTCCTTACAAATGCTCATTAATGTTTTACATGAGCCACGCTCTTCAAACTGAACTCCATTATGATGAACACCTGCACACACCCAATTTAAAGGATGCGTCTCAAGACGTCAGAGGCTACTAATTACATCACGTGTAGGGAGCAGTTTGCCTTCTGATTGACAAGCACAAGGCACATGTACAGGCAACATCTGCTCAGGCACAGCTGAGGTCTGGGTGCAAACCAGCAGCTGTTGGGATGGTCACAGGATAAGATAATGGGGTCATTAGAAACAAAAACTCACCCCTTTGCTATCACTGGGATGCCATAGAGTCATAGAATGGTTTGGGTTGGAAAGGGCCTTAAGATCTTCTAGTTTCAACACCCTGCCACAGGCAGGGATGCCTTCCACTAGACCAGGCTGCTCCAAGTCTTGTCATCTTGGCCTTGAACACTGCCAGGGATGGGGCAGCCACAGCTTCCCTGGACAACATTTTCAGTGCCCTACCACCCTCACAGGGGAGAGCTTCTTCCTTATATCCAACCTGAAGTTCCCCTGGTTAAGTTTGAACCCATTAGTCCTTGTCTTGTTGCTGCAGTCCCTAGTGAAGAGTCCCTCTCCGCCGTCTTTGTAGGCTCCCTTCAGATATTCTAGTCCAACATTGTAATTCTTTGTTTCTCCCCAAAGAAAAAATCAGAGTGTCTGTAGGACCACAACTGCCTGTAGAAAGCACCAAACCATCCTTTAAACCCTTCAGAATTCATGATTCCTTGCAAGTGAGCTATGCCAGCTTCCAAGGAGATTTTAATTTGCCACAGGACAAGTCTTGGACACAGCCCTGAGAGTTTTTCACCCCACCAAGATGCAAGATGGGCTTGCCTGAATACCTTCCACTGCCCTCATTTCCAGCCATAAAACCCTACCAAATGCAAAGCCTAATAAAATCAGGGAATGACTCTTATTAAGTTTGAAGAGCATTTGATCAGCCATACAATGAGCACCAAGCTTTGGGTACATCTCTCCCTTGACAAAGCCACATTCCTCAATGCCCCCACGCTGCCTACCTGCATTTAAATGAGCAAAGGGGAAAACTGAATAAGGATGACCATTGCCCACTCCAACCTCCTGCTTCCAGTTTGCCAGTCTGCCCAAAGAAGCTTTAAGAGAAGAGGGATAGATTTCTTCACATAATTGTTGACGTCAATGGAATAAAAGGCAGGTTTTATTCTCCCTATGGGAGATTTAAAATGGAAAAAACCTGGAGGGTGTGAGATGCATTTCATGGCATTCAGGGATAACAACATATTAATTCTCTCCTGTATTTAATTAGGATTTGATACACAGTGGCTCAGGTTTTCCTTGCACTGTAAAAGACCATATAAAAACACACACTGCCAAGCTTTCAATCCAGTTCTTACTCTCCGCTGGGAGCTCGGTAAGTTTTTTCCCTATTTCTCTTTCTAACTAGCAAAATATCCTTTTGTTGCTACTTTGAACTTGAATCTAGATCTTACAGAAATGCTTTGACACTGCAAATGAAGAGAGTTGGTTCTTTTAAAGGCTGTTTGTTGGGTTTTTTGATTCCTTTTTTTTACAGGCAGAGATAGATACAGGACTTTAAAGTTGAGCCTGAGATCTACAGAACCTCACCCAGTTTGGGATGTGATGTTTCCACTTTGATCTGGCTATTTGGGTACCCATAGCTTTCATTTTCTTTGAAGAAAACCTCGAATTCTAGATTTCTCTTGTATTAGAGATGACTTCTTTTAGTAGTTCAAGGAACTATTTCTGTGGGCAGTAAATATTCTGACCTTTACCATCCTAATCAGAGACTGATGTAGATTACTTTAATACCACAGAGACTTTTTTATCTTGAATAACTGAAGGAAGTTTTGGCTTCTGCATATTTGAGACTCCTTTTAGACACACTTTTTGGGGAGGAATTCTTCTTTACAAGAGCTGATATTACCTCCACTCCTTTTCAAAACATAGCAAGATCCAAACCTGCCTGGTATTTTTGTTGTGTCTGCAGTTAACCATCAGCTTTCTAAACAAATCTACAGTAGCTTGGACCTGATCCTTGTGAGCTTGTTGTTATAGTCCTATATATCTGCAGAAGCAGCTGCCACCAAATTGCAAAGTGCAGACACCAAAGTGGCATTTGCTACTGCTGAGGAAAGCTGATTTACAGGCAGATTTTAATTAGAAAACCCAAGGTCTCAGCACTTCTCCAGGCTCAATCACATCTTTGGAATGGACACCTCATCCATTCCAGGTATGGCAGGGGCAGCTGTGATGTCCCATAACCAGGCAATGCCTCACCCTAAAAGATGGAACAGAGCCTGTGCCCTCCTGCCTTCAAGGAAGATCATCTCCATGCCAGGAGCACTTCAGCCCTGGCAGTACAGGATGCTCCACAGGCTAATTCAGGTGCAGACCTGAGCAGATTCCTCCTGTGATTCTCGCAGCCCTTTGGTCCCCAACTTCTAGTGAAGCAAACTAAGGGAGAAAGAGCAAGAGGCAGCAGAGTACAGGGTAGCCTCAACTACATCCTGAGATGCAAAGAGTTACCTTTTCTCCTCATATGGGGTACTGGCAGCTTGAGCCAGACTTTCAAAAGTCACTCCGTCCTTAAAGAACATTAGGCTTTCAAAAACAAAGCTCTGCCTGCCAATTACAGAGATAACAATCCTCTGTTCTGCAATTTAAATTAGCATAAAGAAGGGCAATATTTTCCTTTGCTTTACCTTGTGCCAGCAAAAAGCAATTCCAGTTTAAACTGAAGCGTCTGCAAAGAAAATAAATGATAGCCCTTGCCACAAAAAGATGAGAACCTCAGCACTAATCCCAGATACTCCATTGCGTCACTAGCTGGAGCACACAGGTCACTTTGCAGCTATGGCTGGAACTCCCCTTCTTCTAAGGATAATAGCTCCACATAACATCTGAAGCTATGAGAGATCATTAGTTAAATGCGATGCTGTGCAGTTTCTGCTAGAGATGAGGGCTGAGAGTCAGAAGCAAGCTCCACAGCAGAAAGGCAGCTTGTCAGATACCAGGGAATTCATTTACCTTTTTTCCCTACTTCATTTTGTAGGTTCATCTCCACCCCAGAACAATGTCTTATTACGGGTACCAATACAAGCAGCAGTACTATATTCCAGGTGCAACAAGGTGTACCACACCGGTGTTCACGAGGTGCCACAACCCCTGCCCTGTGAAGTACGTGCCATGTGCACCATGTGTTTCCAAGGTCCCCAAGGGGTGCAGGCTGAGGAAGACAGTGCAGAGCATCCCCAGGTGCTCCGTACCATGCTCATCACGGTGTGTGGAGACACACGTTGTGGAAGGCCACTCTTCCTCCTGTCGCACCAGGTCTCCTGATCCATGCACCATGGCATTTCCTCAGTCCGTCGTGCAGGGTGGGGAGAACCTCTGCGTGTCACAGTGTGGCCACTCAGGCATTACAAGATGCCCTCAGGTATGCACTCCGACCCGCTTGTACCAGCACAGCTCATGTCCTTATTCATACCAGTGGTCCAACAGTTACCAGTACAACTGTGGGCAGCACTAAGCTCCATGGAGGTGCCCACAGAACGACCAGGCGATGAAGAGCAAGATGGACACCATAGCTGAGTTCAGAGACACAGCTTTCTGAAGCACGACTCTTCTCCTGCTGCAATCTCTGGGGCTTGCAGACAGCATCTTCACAAACCAGCCCTTATTTAATCCTCTCCACGTTATACTCTACTCAATTTAAAGGACTCATAGCTTCATATCTACAGTCTCCTATCATCTACAGTGGGCTCAGATCTTGGCCACATGAAGACAGTTTTTCCATGACTGCCAGTGTAAAGGATATGTGAGTTTACCATGGGCATAATCACTCACATGGATGGCATTGAGTCGTCAAAGTGGCCTCAGCTAGCAGAGCACCAACAAAAATAGATCCTTCCATGGTAATATTTCTGAGAATACAGTTTTCTTTCTGCTTTTAACTTTGTTCCAGAGGAGACTTTGTAAAGAAAGGGGGTTTTAATTCTGTACTTTGTTCTATATGCAACCAACAGAAATTAGAGAAGTAAATGTAGGACCTGACTTTCAAAGTCAAGGCAGTCTACTGTGTGAAGCACTTTCTACTTAACCATCCACTTCTGATGTACCAGCTGCAAGTCAGAAAGTACTTGCCCTACAGTCTGCATTACTTTATTCTCTATGGTCTATAACCAATGTATCACATAATAAAGCCTCTACTGCCTCCAACTACCTGCTTTTGCTTTGGGTTTTCTTTTTCCTTCGTGCCTTTTCACACTTGACTTGGAGGTGAAAGTCCCCAGTTGTACACCAGGCGTGGGAAGACAAGCTCTGCTTTAACCTTCTCTGGTTAACACACACTCAGCTCCCCACAGTGGATCTCAAAACAACTGAGACAGCTATAAGATGACTAACAGTGAATCAATAAGCTTCCAGCAAACACTGGGATTGTCAGGGCACCCCTAGACCATACTGCTGTATGCAGCAGGACATTCAACTACTCACAAACTGAGGTGTTTATGATCTCATCCACCAATAAATCCCTATTAAATTTACCCTAAATCATTCTTTGTGCATTTGTAAACTGTAGCTCAGCAATTCCTGGTGCTCCATCCTGTGGCCAATGGGTTCAGGGAGCAGGAGGGAGCTGCAGCAAGGCAAGCCCCAGGCAGGCACACACTCCTTCACAGCACAAAACTCACAGGATACCAGGGACCCATAGTGCCACTACCATGAGCACTCAGCCATTCAGAGTGATGTATCACTATCAGAACATAGCAGAAATTATTTGATTTGCAGTGATTTTCTGGTTTTAATATCAGCTATGACATGCATTGAAATGGATGCCCCCAAGTCTGTCACTTGTGACAAGCTTAGGCCACAAGACGCCAAATTCAGTTTGTTTTGCACAGCAAAGAAGCATCATTTAAGAAACACAAAAGGTTTGAAGGCAAAAATGAAGCAAGTAGATTGTCTTGGAGCCAGCTTGGGAGAAAAGTAATAATAGAATTGGAGACAGCAGCTCTGAAGTGGCACAACTTCCCTGGCGTCAGCAGACATGAGGATGACTTATGACTGCTGCAGATCTGCCTACTAGGAGACAAGTAATAAAGTTGTGCTCTCCACCAAGTAGCCAAAGGGCACCCCTCTAATGTGGTCACATTCAAAGGAGGGTGAAGCTGTTTGGTGATACCCAGTAAAGGGCTGAGCACTCTCCCATTCCCTCCCCTGGCTGTCAGACGGCAGCCTGTGAAGGCAGCACATCAGGTTACAACAGCAGCAGGGAACAAAGGAGCCTTTCTGCCTCGTTCTTCATAGTTTTTCACCCATGCCTTCACGCTACAGCCAGGTTTTAAGCGGTCCTAGGTAGTCAGAGGGGTCTGTTTGAGAGCTCATTGCCTCAGTTCATCATGCTGCCTACATCACTTGACTGCAAACACTTCCCATTTGCCAAACACTGCTGAGCTGCACCACTTCTGGGCAATACATTACAACAGAAACACATGTGATATGGATTTAAATGCATTTATGCAACACAGGTCTCTGCTTTTTCAACTGCCACGTATTTAATTAAAACCAAAAAGGGTGAGAAATTAAGAAGGCATTTAAATTGTGTCTGCTATTCAGAAACCTCTGTCGAGCCCTCAGAACTGTCTACAGAAGCAGACAGATATGGTTAAATGCCATGCAGTCAAGTTAGCCCAGCCCAGAAGACAGGGAACAAGGTCAGAGCTACACTACAAGTGCTACAGCCCATGGATCCAGGAGCAAGGCCAAGCTGCCCCATGGAGCTCAACCTGGTCTGCACCAGCCCTGCCCTTGGCTGAAAGCAAACAGCAACTCGGTCACCTAACACAAAATTTGCCCTTGACAACGTTATATTAGGTCCTGTATTACTAAAGATTATAGAATTTAAATAACCTCTCAAAATGAGTGCTTTCAGCAGTCACTGATAACCAGCAGTTTTAACTGACCTTAGTTAACCTTACAAAGCATACTTTATTTCAGTTTATTTCAGGCTGTTCATTGTTTTAAAAGCCCAGCTTGCTGCAGACAGTAATCTACACTGGAGCATCTCACAGAATCATTAGGGTCGGAAGGGGCCTCTGGAGATCATCCAGTCCAACCCCTGCCAAGGCAGGGCTGCCCAGAGCAGGTTACACAGGAATATGTCCATGGTAGGTTTTGAATGTCTCCAGAGATGGAGACTCCACAAGCCCCCTGGGCAGCCTGTTCAGGGCTCTCCCACCCTTAGCATGCAGAAGTTCTTCCTCATGTTGAAGTGAAACTTGTTGTGTTCTAGTTCATGGCCATTGCTCCTTGTCCTGTCGCTGGGCACCACTGAAAAGAGTCTGGCACCATCCTCCAGTCACCCACCTTTGGGATATTTATATGCATTAATGACATCCCTTCTCAGTCTTTTCTCTTCTCTAGACTAAATGTTTATAGACATGCCCCCATTTGATGGATGTGTATCTGTGCCTCAGCCACTTGCACTAGTGATAGGACGAGGGGTGATGAGATCAAACATAAACAGGGGAGTTTTAGGTTGGATATAAGGGAGAAGTTCTTCCCTGTGAGGGTGCTGAGGCACTGGCACAGGGTGCCCAAACAAGCTGTGGCTGCCCCATCCCTGGCAATGTCCAAGGCCAGGTTGGACAGGGCTTGGAGCAACCTGCTCTAGTGGAAGGCGTCCCTTCCCGTGGCAGGGGGTTGTAACTGGATGAGCTTTAGGTCCTTTCCAACCCAAACCATTCTATGACTTCCAATAGCCCAGGGCACCCCGCCTATCCCAACCAACCTGCAATCATAGTGTAGCTGTGCCCTCCTCTGGCCGTTACCAGCTCACACAGCTCCTGGTTTTCACAGGACCTCCAACAGCAATTGAAGCCATCAGCTCCTCTCGCAATTAGCCAAGGTGAATTGCTATGGGCATGGATGCAGCATGGATGGAGTAACATCATTTGTGACTGTTGGATTAACGGGCCTTTCTTTCATGGGCAGATAACTCTGCATCAGCCTTCCTTTTGGTTGTTGATGTGGGAGCTGTGGTCTGGCTTTAGCAGCTTATTTAGTACATTGGGTAGTATCAAAATAGGTCCTGTCAAATCTTTCATGAACTGGGTTTGGGGAGAGTTCTGTCACTCGCTTCTCGCTCGCATAGAAACCTGCTCACAACTTGACTACTTCAGAAGCAGTTTGCAAATATAAACCCAAATCTTAACATGGGGGCTCTTTTCTGCTCAAATCTGTTAGAAAATCAGGACATCCTAGAAGCTGAGTTACCAAAAGGCTTTGGGTTTTTTCCTGTTGTGATGCATATACTAAAAAAGGCAGGGGGGTTGAGCAGAGCCTCTATGAAAGGCATCTATTGGGTTTGCCAGGCTTGGGAGAAATCGTAAAAGGGCTTGAAAAGAGCTTTAAGGGCAAATCTCTTTATGTGTTCATGCAATTCTTTTAAATTCCTAATCACAGTAGGAGGTTAACCCTGTGGGGTTGGAGAGGTCCTGCTTTTCGCGACGAGTAATACGAAGCCTTCTTCAAAACAAAGAGGATGAGTTAAATGGTCCTAGAGCACCATCCTGTGGCAGTGCAGGTGCTGAGCTGAAGGAATGTGTTTCCCTCCTGACTCACCACCCCTCATTCCTGGTAGAGCTGCAGGTCCTTGTAATTAGCTGATGCATAACCAAAGCTCAGCTGATCCCCAGCCCAGATACTGTGGTGAGGAGTAAGGCAGATGAGCTCTTTACACAGCCCTTGCAAGAAGGTCTGATGTTCTCCAGGGTCCTTTGTAGGGCTGAGCCCCTGACTTGTATCAGTAAGAGGCAGCGTTTCACCTACGGCTTTGTCAGTTTTACTTCTTCACTTTGAAGGGAGAATCTGAGGTGTTGCATAAGGTGATTTTGACAGTTGAAGAATGAACGTGGGTGTGGGAAGGCCAGGAACGGTGTGCTTGCTGTTGAAATGGCAAGTTGCTGCACTGATGACAAACTTCGGGCTGTAAAGGAGTCAGTGATAAAGTGATGCAACATAGGCCAGCGATGGAGACGTGGAAAAGCAGCTATATGATTCTAGGGACTCCTGTGTCGTTGCATTGGCTTGCCCATGACTAAGTGAAGTCATGGGCAGGTTTAAAGGGAAAGAAGTGGTAAACCTGGTAAATGTTAATACAGGATTACTGTGAGGAAGAAAGGGTTTCAGATGAAAAGGCCGAACTCCAATTCTTTGGTAGCCACAGACCTTACAAGATCCAAATGCCAACTCCTATCCACTCCTGAGGGACTTGCCATTTGACTTGAGTTTCTAGGAGTTCATACATGGCTGTCCATACCACCAGTTCATCCATGTGCCTGTCTTATCATTGCCCTGTTCATATCCCTGGGGACGTTTTCATCAGCTGGAGGCTTTGAAAGGAGAAAATCCCATTTAATTGGTGCACTTGGTTGTGTGTATCAAGTCTTTGCACTGCAGGAAGAAAGGTTTACAGGTTTACTTCAGTCCAAAGAGACTTCAGTTCTCCCTTTTTCTCTGGATGGTGCTGATAGGATGAGGCTGAGAAGAGCGGGCTGTGCTGCATGTGGTAATCCTAGGAGGAATATCTAGGGGCACTCTCCCATTGAAATGTGAATCATAATGAGACCTTCTTCAGGTGTCCCTGCCCCACACAGAGCATCATGTTTCTGATGTGTCCTACAAAACAGGCCATGGTTTTGCTGTCTCCTACTGACATCCTCATTTAAGTAGCTAAGAAGCAGCTGTAAGTGAAGGGGAAGTTCTCCCTAATCCTTAAAAATCACGATGCCCTGGAGCCATAAGGCTTCCCCCTACTCCAAAGCTGTCATCTCAAAACCAACATAGATTCTGATGATCCCTGTGTAGTTGTCAGCTTAAAACCAGCATTGGCTCTGGTGGACCCTGTGTCCTAATTCAGGGTAGCTGCATGGTCAGTAAATGCCCAAATGTTGCCATGAGCTGGGGTCATTGGAAGGGATCCCCTGTGTTGATGTCATTCCTTACTCCAACCATCCTCACCTTAGTGTCAAACCAGCTAATTTTGATATAGTCTAAAAGCCTGTGGGGAGTTCCCAAGCAAATAAATTAAGTGTCAGATATGACCACTGATGATAATGAATGGAGCAATTAAGACTTTCCATTTGATGACTGTAATTTTAATGGGCTGATGCAAACCAGCTGAATAATATGGGAA